AAGTTCTGTGGCAGATAACGGGTGATATGCATAAAATAAATCATGAGAAAAATACTTAAGTACTGTTGTGGTATATTAATATCAGAAGAATGTAGTTTTTTCCCCAGTAATCTCCACTCTGAGGCTTTTTTTTTTAAACTACAAAGCTTTCCCACTCCCCTAGCCTGCTTTTGAGCTCCTGCCAAATGAAAGTGATGGGGACTGACTCCCTTGTTATAGCAAGCTCTCAATAGCCTTTGCCTATTCTCATTTGGGCCATTCTTTGTTTCCACAGTTTTCCTAGTGGCACCACCAAGATATGGTCTTCACTGCTTTATTGCCTCAGACCACAGCCTTCAATCAGGCATGGTATTCACAGAGGCCCCTTGTGCCTTGCCGTTCTTGGTTTATCAAGTCTAAGGATATGGTAAATTGGCACTGGGTCTGATCTCTTCTTGCTTTGCATTGGGTTCCTTGGCTGTTTAGTCTCAGTTTGGGAATCTGGTTTTGTTACTGATTCCCATTTGTTCAGCATCTTTGATGGAGTCAGTCCATTCCTTTCATCCCCTTTTGCTGTCTGTTTCTGTGCTTTCTAAAAGTGTTGTTTAACATACGGAGAATCATAGGACAGAACACTGGCATGGGCCCTAGAACCCTGTTGCTCAAGCTGGTTCACACACCTGAGCTTGGGGTTCTCTCCAGACCAGCGTCTGTCTGCATATGGTATTCTCCCCTGTGTCCTCCTTGTGTCCAAACTTCCCTCTTCTTAGAAGAGTACCACTCATTGGATTAGGGGCCACCATAATGCAGTATGACTTCATCTTAACTTGATTGCATCCACAAAGACCCTTATAAGGTCAAATTCACAGGCTGTGGAAGTACAGACTTGAACATATCTTTTGGGGGGGTCAATTCTACCCACTCTAGATGGCAACCTTATCAATTTCTGGTAGATTCAGGTGCTCCTCTTTCTGTATTAAACCCTGCCACTTATGCTCAATCTTTTCCTGGGAGTAAACATATGGCAGATGGTAAGCATTTCAAATAACCCACAGATTTTCTCTATTTCCTAGATTGTAACTGTAAGCATTGAGCCCTTGATTGACAAACATTACTTCCTGCTCTGTGACATTGTCTCTGCAAATGTAATAGGGAGAAACTTATTCTGCGATACTAAATGCACACCAGACTACTTGGGACTATTTGTGAGATTCCATAGGATCCTTTTATTCAGAAGCAAGTTGATTCTCCTCTGGATATACCTTTTGTCTTCTCCATTATATTTGATACATACACCCAGATAATTTTCTTGACACTGTACCTGACATTCTAAAAATTCTACCGTAATAGAAAAAAATAATTGGAGCAGAACCTATTGAAGTTTAGAGAAAACCTACCAAACCATTACCCAAACTTTCTCAATATCCCTTGAAATCAGAAGCAAAGGAAGGGATCAAACCTATAGTTGAAAGCCTTATATCCAAAGGTCTTCTCATACCCTGCCCTTATAATATGCCCATCCTGGCAGTAAAGAATGGCCTCAGGGCCATTAACAGAATTGTTATTCTTCACTTTCTAACCCACATATCATCCTGTGAGTCACTTGCTGAAGCCACTGGCTGTAGTGAATCTCTGCTCAGCTTTTTACAGTTTGATTCTAGAACAGGACAGTTAATAACTTTTGGTACATATTAATAGCAAATCTCCGTAACATAAAACCTATAATTTTAACCATTTTTAAGTATACAGTTTGGTGGCATGAGGTACGTTCACTTTGTTGTAGAGCGAGCTCCACTATCCAGCTCCAGAACTTTCTCATCATCCCACACTGAAACTCTTCCCCTGTAAACACTAACTTCCTACTTTTCCTTCTCCCAGCCCCTGGCAACCACCATTCTACTTTCTGTCTCTATGAATTTGACTGCTCTATGTACCTCATGTGAATGGAATCACAAGAATATTTGTCTTTTGAATATGTTTGAATGATGACAGTACCTTTCTTGCCTTCACCTGGGGAGGACAACTGTCCTGAAGGACAGTCATGCCCCCAGGGTTCGCTGAAGTGCCCCGCTGTTTTTCCCAGGTTGTTAATCAAGATTTAAATGATCTACATTTCCCTTGTGATTGTTATGACATGCTATGTAGATGATCTCCTATTCTGCTCAGAGAAAAAGGAGTCCATTTACTTATCCTCAGCCTTAGAAGAAGAGGGTCGTAAAATTTCAAAAGATAAATTACCATTTTGCCAGAATGCAGTCTATTATTTAGGGCATGATCCATCTAGAAGGGGGAAAACATTGTCTTCTGATAGACTAAAAACTACTCAAATCTATGGTAGACCCCTCACAAAATGACATTTGAGAGGATTTAAAGGTTTAACTAGATTTTGCAGACAATTGGTGCTAAATTTTTCTGTGATTTTGATACCTCTTTATGAACTAAGTTCTTAGTAAGAGAGTATTTCCTCTGGGAGCTCAAATATGAACAGGCTTTCTGGAACCTGCAGGTGGCTCCTCAATGGCCTCCTTCCCTAGACATGTGAAACAAGAGAAAGCCCTTTTGCCTATTTGTACAAGAGCAATCTGGACAAGCCCTTGGAGTTTCATAGGAATTATCCAAAACCCATCATTTACTATAGCCTTCCCTTGACAAGCCGTAAAGACTTACCCCCCTAGTATTAGGGTAAGTGCTCTGCTACAAAATTTGTTGATGCTTCTGCCGAGCTAGTTCCAGGCTCCTTGCTTGACCTCATGATTCTTCCTGAAGTAGAGACATTACTATTGACTGGAAACACAGCACTTCTCAGCCAGCTGATTAACCTTTTATGAAATTCTATTACTCTCTCCCTCTCAGGTACTATTTCCTGCTACAACACCCTGAATCCAGGCACTCTCCTTCCTCTATCAGAAGAAGGGAAGCCTAGTGATGATTTTAACTCAGATAATTTGGGATCTCTTTACCTTACTCACATGTATTATAGTCTCATATTGAGAGCCCCGTGCTAATCCTGTTTGCTGATGGATCATTCTTGAAGCTAGAAGTTATCAAGTAGCATATACTATCATTAATTGAAGATCTCCTTTAGAATATAGTCCTCTCCTGAGGTAAAATCCGTCCAAATGGCAGAATGTATTGCATTTACTAGAGCTTGTTAACTAGCCAAAGACTAGAGAGTAAACATATACATAGATAGGAAATATGCTTTTGGAGTACTACACGACTTTGGGATGCTAGAACCCCCACAAAAATGGACAGCAAGTTAAGCAATTTTTATATGCACTCTGTTTACTACAAAGGTGGCTATTATGAAGTTCGAGAACCATGCAAAAAGAGACAATGTTGAAGCTAAAGCAAACACTCTGCAGATCATCACGCCAAACAGCTAATTTTCTCCCTGAAACTGCTCATACAGCACAAATTGATTACTACCTTAAATCAACACTGGAGAAGCTGTAAAGAGACAGTTATGTTGTTCTAAATTTCATGTGGGTTAGTCATGGCATGTGCCATTCCTAATATTGTACTTGGATCAGGGACACAGGGAAGGTGGGGCAGGCTATATAGTGCCTTAACAGCAAAAGCTACTTGCTCTGTAAGGTTGACCCTCATAACCTATATGGAATTTATTCTTGGCCTGGGTTAGGGTTCTGGGTTCAAAGCATCTTACAGAGGTTATTAATTGTTCTTGTTCTTATTTTTGTTACAGTGGTCATGATACTGGTCCACTGTATTCTATCCAGGGTCTGAAATGCTTCTGCACAGCTACCTCCTCATCAGATGGTCCCCATGATGATACAACAGAAAGGTTGAGAAGACCTCATGATACAGTTGGCCATGGAGATGACCGGACAATCGATCTCACCACAAAGTGGTGAAAATCTGGATTTCTAGACTTCCCTAAATTTGCCAACTTCTCACAAGCAAGAAAATGATCAGAAAGGAGGACTGAGAGACTGAACATGCAAACAGACAATGATCAGACCCACATGTGAACTGAGAAACTCTGACCCACACCTCTGCAGGAACCAGCCCAGAATGGTCAGGGCTTGGTCAATGACTGTTAATTTCTCCACTTTTGCTATTTCCAAATCAGGACCAACCAGAGAAAGCCAAGTGTATTTCCCAAAGCAAATCCCAGAAGATGCCCGGCTTCTAGGTAGCCAATCTCCAGCTTCCCCATGCCAACAACCTCCAATCACAACATGCCTGAAGTCTCCCTCCCTCACCTCCTTTTTTTTTTTTTTTTACTATAAAGCTTTTCTCTCCTCTGCCCGTCTTTGAGTTTCTGTCAAAAGCAAGTGATGGTGGTTGACTCCCTTACTATAGCAAGTTCAGAATAAGTAACCTCTGCTCATTCTCATTTGGATGGTCTTTACTTATTTCTATGAAACTAAAGATTATAGGTAATTGGACTTGTCTTAAAAAATACAATTTCCTACCACAATACTTCTTTTACTTCTTTCAATGACTATCTTATGAGAGACTAGAATCCTTGCATCCTGTGTCACTCCTTTTCTTAAAAATCATTTCTGATAATCTCTTCTTTCCACACACTTAGGAAGTCCCCCAAACCCTTGGCATGCACCTGGCCTGCCAGGCCCTGTGGGCACAGAACCTCCAGGAAAAATTTCAAGCTCTTGAAAACTCTCAGGAGGCACAAAACATGCAGCACATCATAGGCCGTTGTTGAGAGAAGCGTCTGAGGACAGGGACTGTGATGCAGGTACCGTGTGGACTCCCTGCAGTCCTCCGGGCTAAGTCCCTTGCCTCAGTTAGCAAGAGGCAGCCTTGCATTCTTCCTTCTCCAGGGCTAGACCCTTTCTGACACACAGGAATGACTTTCCTCCACGGGGGAATGACAGGTGCAGAAAAGGACTGGCGCGGAGGTGAGAAATAAGAACAGCCAAAAAGCGTATGGCTTACTCTGGCACTGTTTACAAAATTGACCAAGATAAACAGAAACAGGGACACTTAAAACGAACATCACATTTTTATTCACGAAATTGACTCTTTTCATGGCAAATATTGTCTGTGTATGAAATATCAAAATGATTTCCTTCTCAAAAAAATTTTTTTTGTTCTTGTGTTTTTTTAGTTTTGGAATGTACTTACCTAGCTTGCTCATGCTAACTTTGAACTTGAATTGCTCATTGTCCTCTGAAAGGATGCAGGATTATGGTGCCTCCTGGTGTGGACTACAGAACTCCTGACATCGCAGTGCTTGGGGTGGTCTCGGGCTGAGACTCCTTCCACGCTGCCTGGCCCAGTTCCCTGTGACACTGATGTTCCTGTGGTCACCACATTCCTGTCGATGGCCTCCGTGTCATCACTCTGGGCCCGGGCTCCCGTTGAGAGATGTTGGTTGGCCAGGTCCTGTGATTTACCACATCCTATAAACATCTGCAAAAATATCTCATCGCTTAACACAGCCCTCAAAACCTGAGTGGCAAAGATTGACCGTGACTTCTTCTGGGCCCTGAGAGCGTGTGCCCCTTAACCCTGGGCATGAAGCGTATTCTCCCTGCCGCCACACTGCCACCCATGGGGCCTTGGCTGCAGACGTGGAGAGGGGTTCCACGTTGAAAAATGCTCTACACAGAGGTTCTGATTTTTCATGATGTCAGCTAAGAATCCTTCCTGTGAATCCCTACAGTTCTAACAAGGTCATCAAGCCTGCTGCCTGTGGAGGAGAGATGAGAACAGAGCAGGTGGCCTCAGTGGAGAGGGGTGTTTTCTGTTCGTATGAGGGCAAGAGCAGCGGATAAGCTCCGCACATATCTTGATGCCGAAGGGATGAGGAAGCCCCCTGACTGCTGCACTGGCCTTCAGACCAAGGCTAGGTCTTTCCGGGGCCACGGAGGTAAGGATTTCTTAGGCACCTTCTAGAACGACCCTAAATGCCACCTGCTAAATATGCTGCATGTGAATATGCTCAAAGGAGGAGAGGAAACCATTAACTGGGGGAAAAATGCTTTATTTATACTGGGGAAGCTTATGCTTTTCCTTTGAATTTTCTTTTATATATGAAGTATTTGTCCAAGCCCCGTTCTCAGACATTATCTTCAACTAAATTTCCACCCTTAAAGTAAGCAGGCCTTATGGTGGGAAAGCATCCTTTGTGGGAGTTGGTGGAGAAATGTGCTTTTTAAGACAAATAAACCAAACACACAAACACTCCTGATGGAAGTTCAATGCTCTTGAAAAAGGGGCTTTTCTCAGCATGGGTTTCTAAACATTCAGAGGAAAAGAATGTAACAAATAGTTCACCCTAGAAATTACATTTACTTCCAGTTCCTATGATCCAGATTGAAGGAGGACACCAAGAGCAGAAATGGGTGCTGAGGGCCAGGAGCAGCTCGTGTGTGTGTGTGTGTGTGTGTGTGTGCACGTGTGTACATATGCCCGTGGGAAAACAACATGGGCCCTAAGCATCTATTGCACGACACAACCATAAGTCAGATTTATGTTGGTAACGACTTGTGTTTGTCAACTGGCCCACCTGCTCCCTGCCAGGCATTCACGGAGGAGTTCAGAGAATGCCTGCCTAACCCAACAGGACATACACAGAAGCACTTAGTCTTTTAACCTTCATAGTGGTTCAAAACGTTTCCTCTGACCGTAATGGGCCTACGGTCATGACTATGCATTTTACATCCTCTCTCATACACCTGTCCAACTCTGGCTTCAAGAAATAAACCACATTTGCTGGAGAACCGAAAAGACCCGAACTTGACATAACTGCTGCTCTATTTTGGGAAGGAAACATAAAGGAAGGAATTCCCTGAAGGGTAGAATTAGAAGAGTTTTAACAGTTACCCTAAATGTACCTATTCACACACATATTGTGCAAGACGAGTCAAAGGTATCGCCAAGTGCCTCCTAGTTCTTTGAGCATTGTTACTTCCTCAGTGGTGACCACAACAGATGTCCTTGTGATAGTTCAATCCTTACATGGAAACTTCAAAATTAGAGACCTGATGTTTCCAGCGAGGAAGTTAAAAAGAGAAAAGAAGTTTACACATTTTATGATACATGATTTTATTTACATAACTGAAATTATTTCCTTAGTCACCTTGATTACAAAAGCAAATTCACATGGTATGGTTTAATAACCTTTCATAAATAGATTTTACAAATTTTAATAACGGACAGATTGCTACTTAATACTCAGTAATACTTAATACCTAGTAACTTCGGTGTATATGCATACGAAAATTGTCCAATAGGACTAGTAAGTGAGAGTGCTTTTAAAACTCAGGATTAGACAATTAGATAACTGGTCAAGGGTTAATTCCCCATCACTGGGTCAGCCAGTTAGACCTGGAATTCTCACCCTGCCAATAACAAACCTATGGTGGCAGCTCGCACTTATTGAGTAGGTATTTTTTTTAACAAGTTGAGAGAGTTTATTCTTTTTTTCTGCATTTAATAAGACTATCATTAAGCACATCTGAAAACCAAAAGTTGACCACAACTAGGTATTTCTAAAAGAACTTACCACAGTGTGTCTGAAAAACGGCCTCAACTAAAGCCACGTTACCGCTCTAGTAAGTGTTTCTCCAGCTCTCTCTCCGGGTTTGTGCGCACACACATATACACACACCCCGTGAGGCTCTGATGCATACTCATCCAAGCTACAAAAATGCCCTAATTTTACTGCTTTTGTGAAATGCCTATAAGATACAGTATTTGGACGAGACACTGTCAGTCCCTCACCATGCTTTAAGTCTGAAGACCAGGCAGGGTGTTGGTAACTGACTCTCTCCGGCAAAGTTACAGAAAGAAGAGCTGCTGGGGACTTCCCAAAAGCCACCCCCACAAGATGGGAGGAGTGCTGAGTGTCCGTGACCACAAACAAGCAGTGAAGAATGACAAGAAGCTTATGAGTCATGGTCAGAATCTAGTAAACAAAAATGTCCTCCTAGAGCAGCATCACGTTACAAACATAGAAAAGAGTGGATACACGTACCTTTTCACACAAGCTCTATGAGAGCCAAAACATTGTCTTTTCCACATCAGAACTGTAATCAGAGGTACAGCAGTCCTCGGTCATTGTGAGCGTTACTTCTAATATAACTGGCTGAATTGTCCCTTTTAAACCGAGCACTAACCCCACCCACTCCTCCTGGGTGAGATGAGCCACTGCTTTTGGGGCCCTGGACGTGCGGTGCGCTGAAGGCTGGCAGCAGTGGGATTCACAGCAACCAAGTCTGCTGTCAGCAATCCTTGGACCGGAGGCCACTCCACTCAAACGCCCCTTTCCTTCACACTGTTCTTGTCAGGGGCCTGTGATCACTCAGTGATGGGGACCAAAGTGTCTGGTGAGCCCTCTCCCCTCACACTGCCCCTCTACATCGCAAATATGGCAGCCAATCTCTCCATTGTGCTACATTTAAGAGTCATTTAAATCATGGTAAAAATCAAATGTCTTCCTAAGAAAAGGTGCCATGATTCTAAAAAACCGTTCTCAGGATCTCAAATGCTGAGGGGAGGCCTGTCCTGAGGTCCCCTCATCCCCCCCCAGCCCTGGCGGGGCTTTAGACCCCACTCTAAGGCCCTGCTGGGCTCTTGTTCTGAGCCAGGACATGTCGTTTGGGCCAGTTTTTTTTTTTTCTTTTTCTGTTGCCCTTCTGGTGTGTGTGCTTCATGTTTAAATCTTGTTGCCCTGTTTGGCGGCAACCAGAAAAATCAAACAGCTCAGGTAGTGAGTGAGGCACCCACGTGTGTGAGCACAGAACGTGTGGTTGTCGCCGGTGAACAAGGACCAACACAGGGTGCTGCCGAGGGCCGAAGAGGAAGGACTAACTAAGGGCTGGACTTGCAACTCTGGTCCAGTGGCTACGTCTGCCAGGAGGGAAAATCACCAGCCAAGTGTCAAGTGCACAAAGGAGGGGCCGGCACACTTTCCGTTCTCGGCATGTTTCTTCCCCTCGGGAGTCCGTTACCTTTCACAAAGAAATGTTAACTATCAAATGCGTCCGTTAATTGTGCCGCTGAGGGTGAAACCATCCAGTTAGCATATACACTATCATTTGCATATCTTGGACACACAGTGTTAGTGCCATCAGCTCTCGTGAGTGGTACAGGACTCTCTTCAGGCCAGTTCGGGTCTGACATGCCTAAAAATGAAAACAGATCATTTGTTCTGCACTGAAGAACCAAAACTTCATGTGCAGACAGTAAGGCCTTGGCAAAACTCCCTTTGAGGTTCAAACCAAACTTTCTGGTTTCTGTGCCAATTACATGAATGCTTTCGTGCTCCAGGTTTCCAAAACACTGTTATAGTTTTGGGGGAAAGATCACGTGTTCTCTTGGTAACTGGAACTTAACAGAAACTACCAATTTTGCCTTTTTTATGAGCTTCGAACTCCGAAATCTGATATAAATATTTGTTGACCTGTTTAAGTCTTTTTTCTAAGACAGCATAAAGCATTGCTGAATTAAAGGGCTTACTGCAGTGGGAAGCTTCTATAGAAAGTTCTCTAATGTAAGAAGCCTACTCGTCTTCCATCCAAGCCCACCACGGAGGAGAGAATCTTCCAAATCAGGGGTGCACGCGGGCGAGCCCCACAGCGTCGACAGGACAAATGGTGTGTAGCGCTAGACCCAAAGCCAGCAAGGAATCAGTGACTCAGGAGGCATGCAAAAGGAACAATCTCGGCTGAAAAATGCTTGAAACTCCAAGATTTAAAAACAATCAATGATCAAGTTAGGAAACAGAAAAATTTTCAAGTATTTAATCAAAGACAAAAGAAGGAGTTTTGGCAAGAACCATATTTACTGTCCATTGCAAGACCACAGCACCACAGACTATGTTCTTTCAAAAGCATTTGCTTCAGCTTTTAGCACTGACTTCATGAGTGACAACTGTCATGACAGTGTGTAATGCAAAGGATGTGAAAACAGCAGTCTGCAGGTGTCCTCCCTGATAGTGGGCATGTGGGCGGGGCTCAGGCCGGGCGGGCCAATGCTCCCTAGTACCAAGTGGCCTCTGAGAGCCACCTGCCCGCCCAGATGGGGTCTGGGAGTGACCACAGGCTGTGCCCTCAGTGCAGGCAGGGTGGTGCTGGCTCCTCCTGTCTCAATTAACTGCCTCCCCAGATTGGGTAAATTTATCCCAGTAGTTAAATTAGAAGTACTATGACTTGATACATACCCACCCCAGAGACGACTTATTTATCATCTTCTCAATATCCCCTGAGAGTTCTGCCCAGCTCCCTTTCTTCTCCATAATCATAAGTAGCCGGGCAGTGTGGTAATTATACTTATTTTCACATCCTTTTAAAAAAACATAGTTTCAAAAATGCCCGAATGTAAACGGATGCAAAGTCAGACATTTACAAATAAAAAGGTTCAGGGAGAACTTTGGTTTCATTCAGATCAGAAACACTCTTAAAAAGCATTACAGAGAGTAAGGATAGTGCAGAGAGGAACGATGTTGCTAGAATCTAGTAAATGCATGTGAAATTCTACCATAGAGTTTGTTTTCAATCCACGTGGAGGGGAGGGCTCGAGGGAGGGGAGCATTATTACAGTCCACCAGGGGCGTCTCCTCCTCCGAGAGGCCGTCGTCATAAAGCAGGGAGTCAGATGGGGTGGACGCGGCCAGGTCCAAGTAGTCCTGGAAGAGAGAGACAGCCGGTCACCCCGGCGTGGGCCACAACCAGACTTGCGCCCTGACTCTCCCGCGTGAAGGCAGAAGCCCTGGTTAGGTCCCACCCTATGTTGGCTTACTAGCCTCTCTGTGAGACCTGAGCCCTCGCCACAGAGCCCCCTCTCCCAGGCTCTGCTTCGCTGGCTCTGCTCCACAGCCCTTATTGCTTCCCCTAGAAATTCACCTTCTTGGGGCAGAAATGGGCTCCTTCATTGCCCTAGTGCTACCTCTTGCAGCATGACGGGGGCACCACACCCAGCGCCGGGGAACTGGCCTGTTTACCAAACCCAAGGCTCTGGGAGAGAGCTCACTGCAGCCCCATTACTCATGTGGGAGTGCCAAGAAGCATCTCCGATTTGCTGGACACTTTTCAGCTTTCCTCTGAGGACCCCTACCGTCTAGAACAGCATGTCAGGACTCGGAAATCTGAAGTCCTCGATGTGAGTTTTGCATAGGATGCTGCTATGAGCTTTAGCTCCTAAGCCTGATGATTTCCCAGAGGCTTCCACTGCCGCCGCCCTGGTTAAATATGTCAAGAACAGTTCTAGCGTTTTCCTGGCTGTTTCTCAGCTCTGTTCTAGGAAGGCTGGCTCTCTTGGCATCACCTGTTATTTTTATTTAATGTAACCCTGTGTTCACAGGATTTGGAGGCTTGGCCCAAGTGGTACACTGATGTTAGGTTTTATTACAAGCAGCCTTCATACACAGTTTTTGTGTATGAAGAAATGCCACCTTTTAGTAAATGTGTCAATGCTAAGATGAAACCCTGAAAGCAAGATCTGTGCCTGTGTTGTTGACTTGTATTTCCAGCATCTGAGACAGAATATGATACACAGCAGTTGCTCAATAAATATTAGTTGAAACTTGTTGGCTTTCTCATTTACCTTATAGAGTTGTAAGCTGGAGGCACATGGACTGAATCTAGCCTCCCAGATATGCTTTATTTGGACCAGACTGAGCATTTGGAAATTTAAATGAGTTATTAACATTAAAGATTGGAAAACTTAACATAAATATCCTTTAAAATTCAGAAGACCTGACACTCTGGCACTCATATTCCTCTAGATTGTGTGTGGCTACAGTGAGGGATCCTTCAGAGCGGCTGTGCGCTCCTGGTCGCCACAGTCCCCACCACTCCCTAGCCACTGCCAACCCCCCATCAGGCCCCTCACAGCATTTGAGTTTAGAATACCCACTTCAACTCTACCCTCTCATGTTCCCTTACTAAAAATTATTTTGACCTTGGAATATTTGCCTCCCACACCTGTCTGGAGAGTTCTAAGTATAAAGGGAAGAATCTTGGTTTATGATTTGAGAAGGGGCCTGGTTCAAGGAGAAGGGTTCAGTCATTAGTTGCCCTTGGGGGACAGCACGACCATCTCCCTTTGCACAGCCTCACTCTGCCCCTGCACTTGGAACTCCATAGAACTGGGGTGAGGTGGGAACCCCCCACTGCCACGTTCAGGCTGCTGGTGGCCGACACCAGGAATTGGCTCCAGGTACTCACTCTGTTCTTAACCATCATCTTCTCCAGGTCTTTGCTGATGTCAGCAAACACTGGCCTCTTGTCTGGTTCCTGCTTCCAACACTGCAGCATTAGACCGTACCTGGTGGGGAGCACGGATGGGCAGTTAGGACCCAGCTAGGACTGCCCCATCATAGCCGACCCAGCACTGTGCCCTGGGCCCAGAGGGCTCTGTTCTCAAACCCCAAAGCCATCTCTGCGTCATTGACATCCTTCTCTGAGCTGGGCCAGGATCTGAGGGGTCACTAGGCGCTTAGGGTGCCTAGTGCTGTGGTCCAGCATCTTGTGAGTCTCCTTTCCCTTGAGAAAGATTTGTCTTCACTTCCCTTTCAGAGATGCTGATAAATAGCTGATGGGATGCCATACCCACTATGGTGGCTGAGGGAGCAACACCGGTCTTTCAAACTCTAATGAAGTATGACCTGGTTGTAGAAACAAAACTTCTGCCAGTCATACCTCTGTCTGGTGCCTTCCTCACTTCCTCATTTCCCTGGGTCCCTGGCATGGCTGCAGGGCCCCCAGGGCTGCCATGTGACTGTGTGCTAGGCCAGCCAGCCTCCAGCCCAGGCCATCCAGGGAGATGGCACCTACTCACCCCTGCACTCCCGCATTTAGCTCTGAGCCAGGCACATGGCAGGCACACAACAGATTTTGTGGGATGAATGGACAGCATGTTTCTGCTAGTGATGGCCCCTTTCTTATGTGTTCTCAGCCCGTCCTCTGAGAATCATCTGCTGGAACCACCGTATGTGAAGACTCTGGCGCTCTTGGGCTGTGGTGCCAGGTCTTTTTGCCTGCCCCCTCCCGACCTCTCTATCTCCACGTGGGCACTCCCCAACATGCACCCCTAAGGTCATCCTGAATCACCTGCCCCTCCCCAAGGGTCCTGTGGGGACAGGCCTCAGGCTTAATCTGCTCCCTGGGCCTGAAGCATCCTTTGACCCTTCCCACTACTTCTTGTTGGCCCTACTCCCTCTCATCCATGTAAGTCTCCCCCCGACCCCAGGAAGCTCACTCAGCCCCCAGCAAGAGTCAGGATGCCCAGCATCTGCCGTCGTGCCCAGTGGTGGTTCTCTGACTTCTGCCTTGGCATGCTCTGCCCTGTTCCTACCTACCACCCGGTTCACCCTGGTGCCCAGGGCTGCTCGGGAGCAGGGAGGGAGGGAGTATGTTGTCTGTGTCTGAGGGAGGCTGGGCCAAAGCAAAGCCTGCTCACATCTCCTCACTGCAGTTGTCGGGCCTCTCCATCCGGTAGCCTGTCTTCAGAAGGTTGAAGAGCCGCTCCGGAGGAATCCCGGGGTAGGGGTTGCCCCCCAGAGTCACAATCTCCCACAGCAGGACACCGAAGGACCACCTAAGAGGGGCGAGACAACCAGTGAGTGGCCGTACTGGGCTCAGCAGACCAGACATCCACCCTCCCAGCAGCTGTTGACCCCATCAGCCCCCGGTGCAAAGAGCCAGCCAAGGCCTGACTGTATGGACGGATGTGGAATGGAGGTGGGGAGAAGCCGTCTGCCTGCCCTGCTCACCTCTGCGATGCTGAAGCCCCACCAAGCCGCTGCCCAAGCTCGGACCCCACACCCACAATGGGTACTTGGTTGGCCCCGTGAAAATGCGCCAAAGCATCAGAGGCAGCAGAGAGCTGCTGAGCAAGTCAGCAGCATGCAGGGCGGGGACCTAGACCACGGGGCACGGGGTTGCCTGCACAATCCCTTCCCCTTTCCTGTGGGCTTGGCAATTTTCAAAAATCTTAGAAGAAAAAAGGCACTGCCACAGAAAAATATTTAACTGTGAGGGAAAATTTACTGTGAAGTGGGAACAAAATCGTATCACAAAACAGCATTATCACATGAGCCCACTTACAGCAATAAAAAGCATATACCTGCACACCACGGAAAACACTAGAAGACCCATGTATGCCGGGACCTGCAGGAGTTACGTAGGGGCAGTGGGATCCAAGTGACTTCCAGTGTCTTCATTACCCTTATCTCTGCATTTTCCAACTGTCTACAGTCAGCTTTACGTAATCTGAACACAGCTGTTCAAAATTGTTCAGGAACTGCCTTTCCTCAGCCCACATTATTCAAGACATGCATGTCTGTTGATGGCAGAACACTTAGAAACAAGTCTGTTGTGTTTCTGGAAACTATCAAGTCTTGTGATTTGACCTGAAAGGCCAAGTTTTGGTTCCCTAGTGAGCAGTTTGGGACACACCGGCCTAGCAACTCACTCAAGGCCACCCTACCTGTGGGTGGGGACCACTCCACTCCCAGGGGACCTTGCCTGAGCCCAGCCCACAGTCAGGTCCACAGAGAGGAACTGTTTGGCTGGGCCTGTGTGGCACTAAGATGCCCAGACAGGAGAGGGAGGGGCTGGGAAGGGGAGCAGCGAGCGAATTTGCAGTTACCTGCTCACTGCTCTCACGCATTTCACTGCGACTCTCAGAACCACTGCGTGGGCCCCTGCCATTTGCTGCATGAATACATGAAGCCCCTTTAGCTTGGTCATTGCAGATGGATGGTACAAGCCAACAGGCACTTGTCCCCCAGCCAAGCTGCCCAGAGAGGCATCATGGCGCACTATACATGTAACCTGGACCCCAGGAAGGCAACACCCACACTTACACATCACTTTGGGTGGTGTAGATATGATCGAAAAGAGACTCAATTGCCATCCATTTGACTGGAATCCGACCCTAAACAGGGAATGAAGGAAAGGCATTAACATCACTCTGACACCCTGGAAACCAGAGGTCGGGGTTGTGGAGGAGGGTGAGGCCATGTCCCAGGCATTTCCAGCTCTGGAGGGACGCTGAGTAACGACGTCCAGAGTGCGCCCAGATACAGAATTGGCAGCATGGTCTCAGAGGGGCTGCAACTCTAATCTGGGGCTCCCAGGCACGGCTGAGACGCTAGAGGGAGTCAGATGGCCTGCTCACAGCTACACAAGGCGTCCTTGTCATGCACCACATCCCTGCTGAGTAGAAACCCAAGGAATCATGACCATGCCCAAGCCAGGTTTCCCTACAGACAGGTCCAGAGGGCTCTGGGGTACCCTGAGTGGTGATGCCCAACGTGTGGGCCAAGAACACCATCCAGCAAGATCTCCCCATTTCTGAGGGGGAATGAGTTTGGGAAACCAATTTCCAGCGTTTCCATCTTGGGGACTTATGACGCAAACCAACACACTAAAGTCTTTTCCGAGAAGCCCTGAGGGAAGGAATCTGTTTCCATGTCTTGGGGCTGCTTTTTCCCCTGTCACTTTATCCTGGAACTCTGTTAGCCTCCTCTGAGAGAGTGCCCCCACTGTAGAGGCACTGGGGTCAGAGCTAACAAATGCTTTCCAAGGCGACTTGAGAAACAGCTCAAGTAGGTAGGTAAGTCTTAGGACACAAACCAACCAAAAATGCGTGCATTGCATTTTAATGCAACATGTCCCGTAATTTCTTTTTCTCTCAAAAAGCCTTCTTTAGGATTTACATCTTTAATGAAGTGTGATTTTCTAGGGCATGTGTTTATAACAATACTGCCTGCCGCCCGGGCTCTCTAGGGCGCCTTGTGCTTGGACACCTGTAGTTCTCTGCTCCATGACATGGGCCGTTCTTGGGGGACTGGTGCATCAATAGGAAGACTCTGTCCACACCCCTGCACAGGCTGGGACGCAGCCCCTCTCCACTTCCCCTTCGGCAGTTCTGAGATATCCTGTCACAACGGAAACCCCAGAAAAAACGAAACCTCATCTTCACAGCCTGTGGCAGCACGGGCCTTCTCCTGACCCCTTACAGCAGATCTGAGGTCTACACAAGTTGCTTTTTGTATGTTGTTTTGAGCAGTGTCTGTTCTGAAGGCCAGTCAGCCGTGACTCCTGAACGACCCTGTCTGTTCTGTCACAAGGAGGCTGCAGGGGAGTGACTAACAGGGCAGTAGAACTAGGAGGGTTAGGAGGGCCACAGGGAACTGGACGACACAGCGAAGCAGATTTCCGCGGAAGGACCCCAGACCACCTATTTCAGAGGTTTGGAGAAAGTGTCGAGAACCCTACACAGGGTCTCTGGACTCCATCTCCAGGGCCTCTCTGTGAGCCTTCCAAACTCACCCAGCCAAGGGTTCCCAGGCCCCCGGCCCAGGGGAACCCCCACCTGTAAAGCAGTTCATTCCTTCCTGCCCCAGAATGACTGCCGCACTCAGGTGTATTGACTTCAGTCTCCTTTGAGCGAAGAGCTGAAGTTACACAGAGAGGAAACGGGACTTTCATCCTGTAGAAGCGAGAGGACAACTGCAGAGACAACTATCATTTCTGCAGCACTAGGTGACCTTCAAAAGTGGTGGTGATTAAAAGCAAGAGACGCTGCGGGGCCCCGGCTCCCTAGTAGGTGCTCTGAAAGGTAGGGTGTGGCACTCAGGAAGAGAAGGAACAGACCTGGGGTGAGCCCTGAGCTGGGTCTCTGGGGACCCAGGAACCAGGGAAGGATTTGAAGATGAGGGCTAGAAGTTCATACCCTAAGACTCTGCTCTCTGTTCCCCGATGTTCTAAGGGCTCTGCCCCCACCCACTGTGGGAATGCTGCCCCCTGCCCTCCACTCTGCCCGGGAGCCCTGGGCCACCCCCCGGGGACCTGGTACCTTGCTCCTCTTCACGTAGGAATCCTCTTCATAAACATCTCGGGATAGGCCAAAGTCCGAAATCTTCATCTTCCGCCCCTCGGCTACCAGGACGTTTCTGGCGGCCAAGTCCCGATGGACAAGCTGCGAGGAAGACAACAGCAGGGACCCCTGAAACCTAGGTCCCCATCACAGGGAGTGGGGGCCCCAGCTGGCGCGGCACACACCTTCATCTCCGCCAGGTACCGCATCCCCCGAGAGATCTGCCAGGCGAAGGAGATTAGGTCGCCCATGGTCAGGGCCCGCTCCTCGGGGTTGTCCAGGTAGCTGGAGCTGCGGCTGCCTCCACTGCCCACGTAGCCCGGCCCCGCCTTGCGGCTCTCTCGGAGGAAGCCCCGCAGGGAGCCGTACTTGGCATACTCCACAATGAGGAAGAGTGGCCCTGGGCGGGAGGGGGTGGTGAGAGGGGGCTGTGAGCTGGCTGCCTGCAGAGCCCTGGGCCGTCAGAAGTCAGGCCAGCTCTGGGAGCATGGGAGGAGGGGGCAAGGTCCCCACACAGGCTCTGCACCCTACCAGAAGTGGGCAGAAGGATATAGCCCTGCTCTGGCCATTGGCCTGGGCTTCACGCAGCACAAATACATGTTTCAGTCCCAGCTCACTCTTGCACGGCTTGCTCTCCTTGGGCTGCCCATGCCAAAGCGGGCTCCCTGGGTGGATGAGTACAACGTTCTGGGGTGCCCATGGCAGGCGGCCACTGTGCTCAGTGCTCCCCTGGGAGGCACGCCCCTGCTGCTAGGATGTCATGTCTTTCTACTCCCTCGGCCCTGCTGCAGCACAGGCTGGGGACGGCAGATGCAGGCAGAGGATCCGAAGCCTCACATGGTGCCTGCTCCCTGCTCCCTGTTTTCAGCAGCTCTGAGGCTGCCGTCTTGGCCCAGGCCCAGCCTTGATTCCTGCTGGTGCCGACCAGCACGTCCTTGCTGCCCTCTCCCTGGGGCACCCTGCCCTCTCGTACTCACAACATGCACATCTGTGCACACGTGCACACACACGGTGAGAGGCCCTCGAGTGGCACAGACCAGGCCAATCTCCTGTGTCCTTATGTGAGAAATGGTGACAATGCCTTCACCATGCAGGGCTGGGGTTGGGGTCACTTGAAGGTCATGGCACGCCTAGTCCCCAGGACACATCATGTTTCTAGAGCTCCCTGCCCTGGGGCTCCACCTGGAACAGGGTGCTGACAAACCAGGATGTCACTAGAGGCCTCTGAGCAGCTGCAGCAGGCCCAGGGAACACGCTCGGAGCAGAGGCCTCATGCAATGCTCCAGCGGCAGCCCCTCCTGGTCCTCTCCCTGACACGGGAGGACGCAGGCTCCAGGTGGGGGCTGGAGCCACAGAGGACAAGGAAGGGGAAGGAGGAAGAATGAGGCAGCCCAGAGCCCTCAGCCTGCACTGGGCAGTTGCCTGCCCCTTGGCCGGCCTTACCATCCTGGCTGCAGGCCCCGTACAGCTTGATGACGTGCGGGTGGTTGACCTGCTTCAGGAGGTTGAACTCTGACAGCAGGTCCCGCAGCTCGCTTGGGGAGGCGTTCTCTGAAATGCACATCAACACAGCGAGTTGCAAACCAATCCCTTCTAGAAGCCCCTTCTGTGAACACCCTGGGTCACCGGACCTACATCTTAGGTCTGCACAGACCCTGGTTATCTCCTTCCCACACAGCCTACCCAGGTTTAGACAAGGCCTCCAAGGACCCTGCTGCTCGGGACTTGTCTTTGCCTGTAGGATGGTCAACAGTGGCCTCATCTGCCTCCAGGGAATAATAACTCTGACGAGCAAACTTCTGCATCAGGAAAGTCTTTCCATGGAAACCCTTCCTGGACCAGGCTGTGTGTGTGTGGCAGTATTTCCCTGCAATTGCCATCTTTCAAGGACAGAAGTGCATAGAGACCGTCCTCACAAGTCCTTCTGGAAGGTAGGAGGACTGTCCCATGTCCTAAAGCACCTGCTGACCAAGCACTCAACAAGAGGGTGAGGCCCTGGAGAAAGCTGAAGGTGATGGGACTTCACAGAGGTGGCCTCCTGCCACGCTGAGCATATGCATCCTGAGTGGGGCAGAGCTGTGCTTGGGCTCCCACCAGGAGCTGATGCCTGAGGGGAGGGATTTGCAGTCAGAAGCTGTGGCTACACAGGCCTCCCAGGGCAGCTGCCCCACAGCCCCCTGCCAAGCGGTACCACATCGCCCTCTGGCTGCACGCTTGTCTGGAAGAGAGAGGACAGCTGGGAGAGGGTGTTGGGACCCATACATGGTGGCCTGGGGGCTGGTCTCACTGTGACCCCTTAGTGCCTGGGGCCTCAGGGGGGCATGGGGAGACCCTAGTCTGAGGGCCTAGGTAAGCATTCAGAATCACCCTGCACAGTGTAGCCCCGAGTGTTAAACTAGAATTCTCATGTGCACCTGCCAACTTGTACCCACTGCATGGCCACTGGGCCCTTGGTCCATGTGAACCAGAGTCATGGCAGAGGGCCGTCCACCCAGTCTCAGCTCAGAAACACCAGTGAGAGAGTGTGTGTTTGGGTGAGTATGTGCCCACTTAGAGCCGGACTTATGGCACGACTGGTCACAGAGGCAGGGCAGATCCGTGGGGGGCCACCGGGGATCAGGCCAGGCAGGGCCCCAGGGGCCAGGGGCCAGTCCTTACAGGTGACTTCTTCACCAGGACCCCAGAGGCACTTGGCTGAGAGGAATGAATGGGGCAGACTAGGATGGGAAAACTGTCAGTTCTTAATTTTTTAAAAACTCAGCTCTTTACCCAACATTGGTGCAGAAGCAGCACCACTCTAGAACCTTCCAAGTGAGGAAAGTCCTCTTGCCCTGTTTCTCCAGGGACTACCCTGGCCCATGTCATCCATGGTGGTGGTCTCTAGAATGCAGCCACTCAAGAAGAGCAACAGGGGGGGCCTCTTTAGAAGGCCCCGGGCTGGCTACCAGCACCCTGGTTTTCAGGGTACCTCTATCCAGCCCTCGGGGCTCCAACAGAGCCACCTGTTCACACTGCCCGGAGAGGTACCTTTCAGCATCTTCACGGCCACGGTCGTGTATCCTGCTTTGCCTTTAAGCCGGAAGGCTGTTGCCTTAACCACTTTTCCAAATTCGCCTTCTCCCAGAGTTTTTCCAAGAACCAAGTTCTTCCGAGGGAATTCCCACTTCGGATCCTCCTATGTGGGGTTGAAGGAAGGGGAAGAAGAGGAGGAGGGAGAAAGTTGGTGAGGATAAGAGAAAAGGAAGAAGACAAGGCCCATAAATGAGCCCCCAGCAGAGAAGCTCCAGTGTGCAGACCACTGCCATGTAACCTAGTGGGCACTGGTCATCCCCCTGCACCAAGGGCAGGACCCCACAGTTGGGCAGGATCCTACACCTTATGGGAAGATAGCTGTTGGCACAGAATGGCCTGGACTCTGGATGCCTGAACCCTTGCTTGTCCCTGGTCTACCAAACATGGCCTCAGCCTTCCCCGGCCCATGTTCTTGTCTCTCAAACAAGAAGTTCAGGGCTTACTTAGCACCCAGGGGGTGCTCACATGGGTGTGGCCTCTTCCCTCTACCCACCCTGCGTTCCCACTGAAATCCCACTCAAGATGACTCTGGGACAGCTTCCCAGACCCCAGCCTGGCCTCACATCCTTGAACTCTCTGGGGATGCCAAAGCCTGTCCCGGGGATGCTGGAACCTCCCCTCCTGTGCCAGCACTGGGTGTCCACTGCCCCAAGCCTCCCTGCAGCTGGATGTGGGTGTGGCCTGGTGGTGCTCCTATGATGCACCCTGCCAGACTCGCCTGACCCACAGATGACACCACTGGGCCTACTCTGCTGCTGAGCAGAGCCATGCTTTCCAACACCCAAATACAGGTGCGTGAGTGCGCTCCTTGTGGGCAGAGGCGGCCTCCTCTCAGCACCGTGTCTCAGGCTCCTGCTGGCCAGCTCCTGGGCATCCTGGTGTTGGCTCAGGTTCCCCAGGAACCCACAGTCGGGGGCAGAGTTGACAACATCATCGTTAGCCTGGTGTCCTTACCTCCTCACTGCACTGGATAAGCATTCACTGCACATGGAAACTGCGCTAAATCTGTGCAGAGAGCACTGACTTGATCTTCTTAAAAGACATTAAAAATTCTCCCTACTTTATATAAGAGACAACTGAGGTCAAGCAGTTGAGTAACGTGTCGTCAGAGCTGGTCAGCGTAGCCCTTGGGCCTCAGGCTGGGCTCTGGCTTCTCTGCTGCGGGCCCAAGCTGACGTAGGCTGAGGGTGGTGTGTGTCCACTTGTTCGAGCACGCACCACCACTGCCCTTCCTGTGACCTCTCTGTAAACTGCCTGCATTTATAAAGGAATCAAATGGCTCATCCCAGACGCCTCCTGTGGAGGCCGAGATGCTTCCCGGGACAGGGGTCATAGACCCCGTCTGCTGAGCGACTGGAGCTAGGAAATCTAGGATAGAGGCCGCGGTGTCTACCACATGTGGGAATGGCTCCCATGGCCCAGACCCACACTAAGGGGTGAGCACCCTTGGGTGGCTCCTCCTACAAACCATGGCCACCTCCCAGCCCTGGTTGGGTACTGCCAAAGGCCTGGTGACTCCTGAGCTTTCTGCTTGGAGGTACCTGTCAAGGGGCGATGTTCCCTGCCAGGCCTTGGAGGTGGAGCTTCTGTTCACACACACCTCTCCTCAGTCCCTCTTAGAATCTGGCTTCCAGCTCCTTAGCAGTTGCCAGCAGGGACACAGAAGAAGCACGGCAGGCTGAGGGGAGGCCTAGGCAGGATGGGGGCTCTAAGGAGCACACAGTAACTGCAGGCCCAGGCCCTCGCATGGAGAAGGGGGATTGGAGGCCCGCTGGCTCTGGCCAGCACGCTCTATCAGCCCGCTGCTTACAGAGTCCTGGGGCCGGCCTCTGCCACAGCCGGCCCAGAGGCCCCATGGTAGCCCTTTCTCCACTCCCCAAATGAACTCCCCACCCTGGCCCAGCCCCTGCCTGTTGCCATCTTTTGCCTGGATGAGGAGTGCCTCATCACAGGGCTCCCATTTTTGCACTCACCCCATAGACTCCCCAATACAGCAGCCTGCAGAAATGAAGGCCAAATATCGGCCTCTTCCACTGAACCCCCAAACCCCAGTGCCCCACCCTCTGAGAATAAAATCCACAGTCTTCCTCAGGGCTTCTCCCCCCACCGACCCCCCATCCTTGGGGCACCTGCAGGACCCTTTCCTATCAGGTATGGCGTGGCCCACCCTCCCAAATCTCAGTCCACCTAAATTAGCACCTAGCACTCTCTACTCTGCTAAACTGCCCCATGCCCTCTGCAGCCCTCTGCCCGCCTGCCCTCCCTGGAAGGCAGCTCCGCGAAGACTCGGGGCTGCTCATGGCGTCTTCCTGGTAGGCGAGGATGCATTAGCCGCTTGTGTGCTACAGGACACTCAGCACCAGGGAGCCCCGTGTGCCCTTCCCCACACCTCCCTGCTTCCCCAGGCCCGAGGCCAGTGCCCCCTGCAGGGCCTCCGGACGGCTGCCTCTCAGGCCCAGGCCCTGCTCGGAGCCTCACCGGGATCTTGAAGGCGTCCACAGAAACCTGGTTCTCCATGGAGTCCAAGGAGGGCCGGCGGGCGCCCGACGAGGAGTAGCTGACTGGGAAGGCCTGGGCCGGCCGGCGGAAAGTCATCTCGGCGGAGGCGACGGGCGGCTTGTGGGCATTCTTGTGGTAGCGGTGAATGCAGAAGGTGGAGAGCAGCATGGAGACGATGAAGGAGAAGAGCACGGCCGCCGCGATCACTGTGCGGCAGAGCTCATCGCACAGCGGGTCTGCGGGCAGGGGTGGCCGTGAGGGACGGCGCTCTGGGCGGGCCCCGGTGCCCACCGTGGGAGGGCTGCCCTGGCAGCCTGAGCCGCTGGCAAGTGCTGCTGGAGCCCGCATGCGAGGGCAACAGAGACGCCCACACGGCACCCACCGCTTGGCAGGCACGGTGCCGTACGTTTTCCCTACGGAGACGGTTGTCACCCTCCTACAGAAGGGCCAAGAGGCCCAGGGAGTGTAATCAGCCTGCCCGAGGTCACATGGCAGAGGCAGCGTATGCGCCACATCAGGAGGAAGGCGTGGAAGGCCGCACGGAAGCCAGCGGGCCCCGAGCGCTGGCGGGGAGGCAGAGTCCCTCTTCCATGGGCCCGATGTCTGTTCTATTTTCTCTACAAAACTGGGAGAGGGAAGGGAAGTGGCTCCCGACCTAGCATCATGCAGCAACAACTCAAATACAAGAAAACCGTCCTTGGGCTCAGGCAGGAAAGCTCCCCGGGTGCGCAGGCCCAGGCCACCCTCGGCACCTGCTGGCCCCGAGGCACACCCGCAGGCTCTGGGTGGGAGGGTGGGATCCCGGCCAGGCAGTGCCAGGGCCCAGAGAAGACCCTGCCCAAGGACCATCTGAGTAGATGCTCAGTTATTGGGTGGAAGAACTTTCCAGCCCAATCTTTCCCATAGAACTTTCGGCTGGAAGTCACTCTGTACAGAGGCCCTGACCTAGACCTGTCTGCACAGATTGGGGAACCGAGGCCCGGAGAGAAGGAAGAGGGTCTCCTGGGTTTTACCAGCCTTCCTACAATTTTCCTCCCTGGCTCACTGGGGCTCAGGGAGGTGTGAGGAGCCCTGCCCTGCATGTGACCCCAGCAGTGCCCCCCACCCACTCACCCTGGCTGTCTTCAGGCTCACAGAAGCACTTCTTCTCTTCAGGGAAACAGTTGCAGATACCGAAGCCAGCTTTTATCCCCCAGCGGTCCCCTGGCTCGTGCCCACCAATGATGCTGCCGCCCCCTGGGGACAGATGCAGCCCACTAAGCCTCCTGCTGTGACCACACAAACCAGGACCACCCAGGCAGAAGCATGAGAGGTCCCTCCCCACACGATGTCGGCATGCTCAGGCCCAGAGAGGGCAGTGAGCTCTGAAATCTGGGTCACCTGGGTAGGAATCAGCACAGTCTGCCCCCAATCCAGTTCCCTGGCCCCAGCAGGTAGGAGGAGGAACCCACAGGCTGCCCAGGACCCTTGCTGAGGTCCACACATGGTTACTTCACAGAGCAGAGAAGGGGCAGCAGGGAGCCAGGAGAATCAGGGGTCGGGAGCTGTACCGTGGCCAAGGAGACACTGGAGAGTGGGTCAGGGCACCAGGCTCTAGAGTTTTGACGGGGCAGAGCCCTTTGTTCAAAGGAAATGTTAGAAAAAGTCTCGGCACATAAAACTCAGGAATGAGGCTGGTCTGGCTGAAGTGCAGGTGGGAGTCCAAGCCTCTCCCTCTGGCTACCCCTACCCACACCAGGCCCTTGAACTTGCAGGCCCAGTGGTTGCTTACGGAGGCAGTCCTGGGGGCAGATGTTGACATTTCTGCTCTCCACAGCATCACAGTGGCCATCGGGGCAGGTCTTGATGCTGGGGGAGCAGGTGGAGAAGTTCCTGGTGATCCCTATAACACACAGTGGGCCGGTCACCACCACGTGGGAATACCCACCCTGGTCAGACTGCCAGAGCCAGAAGGACGGCACCCCAGGGCCTCCCCGGCCAACCCTGCCCCCTCCCAAGGAGGAAACTGAGGCCCCAGCAGAGAATCCGTGAGTGGGATCTTTGTGGTGGTGGGCACAGCTTGGATTTGGCTGCTGACTACGCCCAAGCCCTACTGTCTGGGGCCACATGCCCTGGCCTGGGACCTCCCAGGTAGAGCCTCTCTGTCCCCTGCACATCCCAACTTTGGCCCAGATCTTCCCAAACCCAAAGGGGCCTGAATGTCCTCGTGCTGTGCCTACTCTGCATCCATGCTCACCCTCTCCCGACATCAGGACCTACAAATGTGGACCAGGCTCCGGGCAACAGATGCGGAGAGGGGAGAGCCATCACAGTGGCTGGCAGGGCCCACATGGACCCCGTTTCCACTCAGCCACCATGACCCCTCTCGACCGCCTGGTCGCAGGCCCCTGGCTCTGCGTGGGGCCTACCTTTGCCATCTCCCTGTCTCCACTCGCACCTGCCCGTCAGAGAGCCCAGGCCGCCGCACTCCTCACACTCAGGCCGCCTCTTGCTGACTGCACAGGACAGGGGGCAGCCTGGCTCCTCAGCCACATCTGTGGGTGGCAGAAAGCTGGTCATGGGGGCTGGTCTGGACCCAGTGTCCAGCTGGCATCCAGGGGCAGAGGGAAGCACTGGCCAGGCTCCTCTCATGGGGAGGTGTGCCCTGCCTTAGCACCAGGGCACAGGGCAGTGATGGGGGCCACTGAGGAAGAGGGCTGTCACCACAGTCACGGCAAGGGGGGGCAGTTACTGGGCTGGGCTAAGTATGGAGGGAGGATGTGAGGAGGCTAATGGCTAGACTCAGCCCAAAACACACATGCCCAGTTAAACCTGTATTTCAGATAAACACTGGCCCTTGCTTTGTGTAACTGTGTCCCTAACATTGCATGGACATACCTGGAAGTTTGTCTTCCAAGAGACTCTGCAAAGGGACATACTTACACCAAAAAATTGTTTGTTGCTTACCTGAAGTTTAAATTTAACCAGGGTCTTGTATTTTCTCTGACCGCTCTAAAGCAAGTGCATGTACTGAATGCATCGGCAGTGGTGACAGGGAGTAGCGACCGTATGCTATGCGGTCACTCTGGGCTACATTGTTTTATTCTTTCTCCTTGTCACCCTCCCAGCCAGCTCCGCAGGGTGCACTGCGATTCTCATTTGATAGGGAAGGAGACTCAGGCTCAGGGACGCTGCCATTAGGTGAAGGGGAGCAGGCCCGGGCCCCCTTCTGTGTGGGGGAAGCCCGTGGCTCTGCCACACCCTGCCTGTCCCGACCCTCCACGGGGCCCTGGCACTCACACGTCCCCTCCACGGTGACGACCAGCGGGGCCTGGGTCTGCCTGCGGGTTGGCCGGTTGGTGGCCACCACCGTGTACTGGAGTTGAGAACAATCGAGCCGCTGCAGGGCTTCCGTGTCATTCACGAACAGGGTCCCCGTGGTGTCCTCGGCTGAGGTGACCACCCCCAGGACACTGCAGTTGGTGCTGGACAGCTGCAGCTTGTACTGCACGTGGATGCCGCTGAACTCCTGGCAGTTGTCCACACAGACTTTCCCAATCTAGGCATGGGGCACAGGGAATGCCTCAGCCGGGTGGTGCACCGGCCTGTGATGGTGGCTGGGGGGGCTTCTGGGCAGCCCAAGTCCTGGAACTGTCCCCTACTGAGTCCAAGGATAACAGATCCCCCCTCCCCACAAGTCCCCATCTTCCACGTCCCTGGAACCTGCAGACCCATCCACCTGCCTGGCCCTGTCCTGCCCGTCACACCACCGCCCACCCCTGCTCCTGAGAGCCAGAGGCAAAAGAACACAGGGCACTGAGGTTTGGTTTAGTGACTGCCTCGAGAGGTGCCTGTGCTCCCAGCTCGCTCTTTACTCACTCACTCGTTTAGGTACGAAGGCTGATTGGGTCCCTCCTCCTCACCTCCCTCGCTTCTTCTGGCCAGGCCAGTTTTGTTCTGGGGACCACCAACTGCCATCCTCAGTGCATGTGGCTGGGGTGCTCCACCCCCTGCCCAGGTCACCTGCCCGGGCAGTCAGAGCATTGCACTGGGGCCACAGGATTCATGCAGCATTGCTGCCTGTCCTACCCGAGCCCCAAGGGGCCTTCCTGGGACTCTGGCTGGAAGCCCTGGGGAAGAGAGGATGCTTCTCCTGGGGATGCTAGGCTGGCAGTGCCACTGCTGGGGCCCAGAGCTGGGCAGCTGGAACTCTCCTTTTTATCCCTCAGCCATATGAGTTAGAATGAGAGTTTCAGTGGCTTAAAACCAGAAAATCTGACTAGTCAAGTTTTGGGGCAGAGGGCAGGGGTGGGGCAGGGTGAGGCACTGCCTGCAGCCACTTAGCAGGTCCTTGCTCAGTCTTGCTCAGGCCCAGGGCAGAGCCAGGCTCCTCCACACCCAGGCCTGACACCGCAACCAAAGCACCTCCCGGATGTCCCAGCACATCCCCATATAAAGCATGCTCACTTCCACGCTCCCATAGGGTCCTCCAAATTACCCAAGGTCACTATCCTTAATTTTCAATCATAAACACTGGGGAGTGGGGGTGAAAGATCACAGCGAGTTTGAGGCTGGATTGGGACTCAGGTCCCTGGGATCTTTTGAGTGTTTTGGGGTAGAGGTGACACATCTCCTGCAGTGCTTGCTCTCATCCAATATCCCCTTAGACACCCTTCGGGGCACTCTGCCTTGTCACCTCCCACCATCCTGGACCTCTGCCTCCATGAAAGGCCATGGGTGGCAGATCAGGGAGCTTGGATATGTCCAAGGGTGGGGTCCTTTGTGTGTGGGACCTGGGTGGCTATCAGGAGTAGAGGGGGCATGGGAACCAACCACAGAAACTAGGACAACTGGAGATGGCCCTAAGCATGACCTTCTGAAGAGGATGTATCTGAAACTGCTCCATTAGAAACGAGCAGTATGTGAAGTCATATGCATGCTGCAATTGCAAGTAAAATTCCAGACGTCCTTAAGAGAACCGTTCTAGAAAAAACTGTACCAAAATGCTAAGCACTAGTTGATACGCGAGAAGGGGTCAGTCCTCTCTGCCCTTCCTCTTCTTTAATGGGTACTTCAAGTTTTTTCCACTTCTAACTGTTATTTCAATGACAAAGGCAAGATAAGCTCTAATACACGCACTTGTAGAAGGCAAAGAGGAAGTGTTCCTCACCTTTCCCTGCAGAGGGCGCAACTGTTAACCGCTACCTGCATTTACATACTGGCAAATTCAATCAATGAAAATTTGTTTTTGAACATAAGGAGGCATGTGAGGCCAGTATTTTTACAAACCACTTTTCACTTAATAATCCACCAAGAACATCTTTCTAAGTCACCATATGTAGATTCAGCTGGCATTGCTCTCACGTTAGGACAAAACAGGCTTTAAAGATACCAAGAACAGAGAGGGCAAAAAAGAGGCCTATGGTGCCCACCAACCCTGCCCATGACTCTGCCAACTTCGCCATGGCCCCAGCTTCCCTGGCCCTGTGCCCGTGGCTTCCCTGGGCCACTCCGTGTACTGGTTAGGCGAGAAGGACTGTCTCTCACCCCCAGCCCTGCTTGCAATCTGTTAAACAGAGTGTCCCACCCTGGGGGTCCTCCACCCCTCCATGCCCCTCCCAGGCAGGCATCGGGCTGTGGGCTCACCTGGGCAAAGCGGCGGGCTCGCCTGCTCACAGTGAAGGAGTAGGCGCTGGGTAAGTGCAGGCTGACGGGCAGCACGCTCACGTTGAAGTGGAGGCGGAGGACGCCCTCCCCCGGGCCCTGGAAGTCCGAGTCATTGACCAGCACGGCCAGCTGCAGCGAGCGGCACTCCGAGATGGGGAGGCTCCGGTTGAGAACCAGCCCTGTGGGTGGGGGCACAGTGATGACTGCCTCGTTGCTTCGGGCCTGGGACCGTTGCTGTCCTACGCCACTACGCGGTCCTCCCAGCCACACACCTGGCACATACACACACGTGTGCAAACACAGATTTCACATGTGTGCTGTGTGGATCACAGACTTGGCAGGTGGGGCTACGTTGGAACCACTGTTTAAATGTTGGCCGTTGTGCTGAGCTGGACGCCGAGAGAAGCCTTCTCAGCTGGGAGGTCACCTGTAAGTATGGTGGTGTGTGTGTGTGTGTGTGTGTGTGTGTGTGTGGTGGGATGTCTGTGTGTTGTGTATACATGCGTGGTATGTGGTATGCATATAGAGTGTGTGTGTGTGTGTGTGTGTGGAGCATGTGTGTGGGGGGGTGTGCGCATACATGAGATAAAGATCTATCACCACTGAGGCCCTGGGATGACTATACTGGTCTCTGTCCCCCCAGAGAACTCTCCCCAACAGCTGCAGCCTCCCCTGGAGCCCTGGACCCCACAGGCCCCCGGTGCGTGGAGCCTGCACACTTCCGTAGCTGCTGTATACCATGGCTATGGTTCTAGTTTTGCAGAGACACAAGGAAAAGGGTGAGGAGGCTTTGGTACACATGGTGTACAGAATGAGTGGGCCTGGCAGGGATGACATTTTCCCTTATACAGGGTAGGAGACCATCAAAGGCTCAGTGGGGGTGGGGAGGATGAGAAACAAACAGGATCTGTCCAGGCAGAAAGGAGTAACACTACCAGCGATTCTGGGATCCTTCAGAAGCAGATCCCAAATCAAGGATTCGAGTGCAAGTTGGGTATTTGGAAGGTGATCCCAGAAAACATGGGCAGGAGGGTGGGGGCAAGGCAGCTGATGAAGATGCCCCATCCTGCAGGTAAGCACAGTGGGCCCCTGGAACTTAGTCCTGCAGTACATTCCAGGAGCCAGATAGGACAATCTCTGCGGGATCCTCTGGCTCAAACACACAGAGCTGCCATTGTATACTAACCCCTGTTAGTAGAGAGCTGTGGGGACAAGGGAGAAATAATCCCCAGGCACTCAGGTACCTCGGGGGTTGCAAAGCAGAGGCCAGAGGAAGGCCTCAGGCAATGATGTATATACCTGTAGTGGGCAGTGAGCCCTGGCATGGTCAGCATGGGGAAGTGTGGTAGGGCCCTACCAAAGTCTGCCAGGAGGCAGTTCAGGGAGAGAAGAAAGCCTGTAAAACCCCACCAAGGTGGCCAAGGTGAGCCCAGTAGAGACAAGGAAGGGCGGAGAGGAGTGGAAGGATCTGTGGCCTGGGGCTCGGAGGGCCAGGACAAGTGTGTGTGTGTGTGTGTGTGTGTGTGTAGGGTGGTTAGAGAAGAGTGGACTGCCGGTTCCCTAGGGGGCCCAGCCAGGCCATGCCTGGCCCCTCTTACTGTAGTCATGCACAGTTGCCCGCACAAAGCTGCCGTTGGCCTGGGTCAAGGTCTCGTTGGGTGAGTGCTCGACACGGAAAGTCTGGAGGGCCCAGGCATCCCCAGGGAGTAGTGTGCTTGTGTATCGCCTCAGCAGCTCCCCAGATGCTGGCACCACATCTGCATCGAAGACACGTATCGTGGCCACCACAGTGCCCTGTGGAAAACAATGAGTGTTAGTCAGAGCTGGTGAGAGGGACCCCTCAGAGACCCTGCAGGCTGAGACCTCCGGAGGGCACATGCCCCACAAGTGGACCAAGAGTGTGCAGTCAGAGCAGGCTCTAGGGACAGCCTGAGCTGTGTTAGAGTTCCCATGGGGCCCCCTGCCAGTCTAGCCCAGTCACCCTCCCTGGGCCACTGCGCCTCACCTGTGCAACAGGTATGATAGGTACCTACAGACTTCCCGTCAGAATGGATTAAAGCAGCTGCCCAGGTGCTCCACTGACAGACTTCACCAGGTCCCACAGAGAACAGCAAGCTGGGCCCCACAGGGTGGAGTTAGCTCCCTGTCACATAGCGATAGATGGCAAAGCCAGATCCAAGCCCGCCCAGGTGTACGCCAGAACGTTCTCCTCCAAACACCTTCTATATACCAGGCTGGAGGGGATCACGAGGAGAGTTCTGAGCAGTCACAGGGCATCTTTGCTTTCGCTGCTAACCAGACTCCTTGTTGTCACCCCAAGGCAGCCGTTCAAGCTTATGTGATCTTTACCAATAAGATGTACTTTCTTCCCGCCGGCCCATCCACCAAACCAGCACCTGGGTTACCCAGAGACCCAACCACACGTCTCCCATTGCGCCCTTGGCCAGCGGGCTGCAGGATGGCCCAAGGCCCAGCAGGTGGCAGTCACGCTCCACCTGCCGGACCAGAGCGGGGCGGGCCGAGGTGGGCGGGGCCGTGCTGGGCGATCCCAGCCCGAGCCACTCCCGGTCTTGCTGCACTGGGGGGCTACCCTCCAGGAGTCTCTCTGACCCTCCAGTGAGGGCTGACAGCGGTGGAAGGGGATGCCTCCTGGCCGCTGTCCTCTCCCCCTCTCCAACGCGCGCCCTTGGCCTTGCCAGCCTGGTCAGACTCATGCTAGGCATCCGGGGTCCCCGGACACTCGTCGGGGGCCAGCTGGGCTGACCTCCCCTCTTCTCCTCCCCTTGAGACACGCAGAAAGCCCCAACACACAGCTGGGTGGACAAATGAAAGACAAATGGCTGGAGGGATGCTCAGCCACATGGCTGGATGGCTAGACGGACAGCTCAATAGACCAAGAATAAATGGTGGACGGAGTGGCAGACACCCAACAGATGGACGACAGACAACAGACAAGCACAGCGGTGGCAGATAGGCACCTCCTTCCTCTTGAACTCCACCACAGCGCTGGCGGTGTCGAAGCCCCCGAGGAAGGTGGGCGCCGAGTCGTCCTCATCATACACGGTCACGGGGAAGGGCACCATCACCACCTCCTCTTTGCGCGCGCCGACGCGCACCGTGCACGCGGCCACCAGCTCATACTTCTCCCGCAGCTCGCGGTCCAGGGCCCAGCGTGTGCTCACCTCCAGGCTGTCCGGGGCGCAACGGAAGGGCAGATTCTCACCTACACACCAAGCAGACCAGGAACCCCAACATGACTCCTGGGCCAGGGAGCAGGGTGAGCTGCCTTTTTCAGGGGCCCGCCCGGAGAGGCTGCAGGGGAGGGTGGCCTCTGTGGGTCAGAGTTGGGGTGCATGCTGGCCCTGCCCTGAGCTCCTCCTCCTCGGCTCCAGATTGGAGAGGGGTGGGGCACAGAGCTCCAAGCACTGGTTGGCAGTGATGACTGTGCACTAATGAGCTTTCTTGGGCCTGCCAGTTTCACTCGCGCTGATGGGGAAGCTCGGGGAATCAGAAGGCCTGCATCAGGTCCTCACCCTGATGACCTAGGGAGGGCTGCTCACATCACGTCCCCAACCTTGCCTCCCCTGGTGGGGATGGGGGTGTGGGGGACACCAGCTCAACCAGGCTGCAGGCCCAGAGATCCAGCTCCCAGCATTGGCTGGCTCTTGAAAAAAATAGTTATGCAATTTTAAAATTATGGAAATAATATGTGCTCATTTTAGAGAATGTGAGAAATAAAGCCACTATTCCACCATATGAAAACAAACATGGTGGACATTTAGTGTGCGGTTTGAAGTTAACACACAAATATTTCCAACTGCCTTCTTTGCATGCCCACTTTATACCTCCTGGCTGTGTGACCCCAGATTGGTTGTTCCGCCTCTCTGTGCCACTGTTTCCTCACCAGAGGATGGGCTAGATGAAGGCTAACATGCTTGCTCCTCACCAGGCCCTGCTGTATGGTCAGTGACTCGTGTATCTTCCCACAACCTGGTGAGGGGAGGACCAGTCGGGATAGTACACTCTTCAATCCAAGCCTGTACTGAAATTCATCCTCCAGGAATAACTGAGAGAAGGGAGAAATGCTGACGGCTTGAGGGTCAACACTGACCACCCCCACAGCCAACCACAGAGGTTACGTCAGCTCCACCCGGCAGGAAAGCAAACGTCCCTCGGTCCCTCACGTCAGTGCCATGTATTACATTACACGTGGGAAATGCTTATCATATAATGTTTCTCTCTGTTGTTTATGGTTACAAAAACATGCTCAACAAAATTTAATTACGCAATCTTCATGAGGAAGGGCAGCTTTCTAAACCTGATATTTGGCTGACAATCTTGCACAAAGACATTTATCCCTGCTGCAGGGCAAAGGTAAGGATCCTGGGGGAGTGGATGGCTCCTTTTCTTACTTTACTGAGATTTTCTTTAGCTCATTACCATGTGTGTGCGATAAACCTGGTGTGAATCCAGGTTCCACTGCAGTCTACCTTCCGTGTCCCAGTTCCTTGCTTTTGAATATTTCAGGGGTGCCTCTTGTCATCAGTCTGCTCGGGTGCGTTCTCTCACCTCCACTGGGATTCACCTCCTGGTCCCCCCTTGGCCAGCCTCCCCAGGGCCATCTTGTGGCTCGGTTGGCTGCCCTTGCAGCTGCTCAAGCAGAGTCCTAGAACCACGCTGGCTCCCCTCTTTCCCTCAACACCCACAGCCAACTCATCAAGAAATCCTGCTGGATCTTCCTTCAAAACATGCCCAGAAGCCGCCTGCTCCTCAGTGCCCTGTGGCTTCCATCTTTCTTTCAGTTTCCATCCTGCTGCTCAGGGATTTCTCAGGTAGCCTCCTGTATCCTTGCTTCTACCCCACACCACCCTGTACCGGATCATTCCTAGCACAGCAACCAGAATAATCCTTTAAAGGTAAGTCAGGGCTTGTCAATACCACCCCCTACAAGCCTTCCATGACTCCCCAGTCCCTCAAGGAGAAACCCTCAGGAACTTCTCTGTCCTCATGGGCCTCTGGTCCCCCCACCCCAGCTACCCCGGGGCCCCACCGCAGCGATCTCAAAGGGGCTAGCCCAGCTTGCCTGGTGCCCTCCCACCTTTGCTCCAGCACTCCCCTTCCTAGCCATGAGATATAAGACTGCAGTCTCCACCACTCCACATCCTTGGAGTTTTACTTCCCAGATAGCATGTTCCAGAGGCCACCCCAGGGGAATGGAGGCTCCAGGCAGGCAGGATTTTGGCTTGTTTAGTTCACGGTCACATCCTTAGCCCCTAGAACAGTATTTGGTTCATGACAGGCACACAAGAAGTACTTCTGGAATATTAAATGAATGAACGAATGGTGTGGTGGTGAAGAGTAAACCAGATGGCTCATGTCAAGGGCTGGCGGGGCTGTGCCTGGCACTGAGAAGACGCTGAGGGGGGCCCTACGAAGCCAGCACTCACCTTCTAGGAGCCTGTAGGACACACTGATGTTGGGGCACAGGAACTGCACAGGCAGCAGCCGGAATTGGTGGAAGGTGCCAGGAGGCCTGTTCTCTCTGATGCGGAAGGAGACGCTTGTTTCGGGAAAGCAGAGCTCCCGGGGTTTGAGGGAACCACAAGCCGGGAAGGAAGTGTTGATGAAGGAGAAGTACACCCGGGCACAGCCTGGCCACTGGCACTCGCCCTCACGCAGGGACGTAGACAACAGGAAGACCTGGAGGTAGATGGTGAGCACAGGGAAGCCGCCATCTGCAGAGAGAGAAGTCAGGCTTGGTGGGGCACCAGCCACACCCACAGGTGGTGGGGAACGGAACGGGGACGGGGCAGGAGCTCCAGGGTTGGTGTAAAGCCCAGTCCTCTCCGTTGTCCACAGGGCTCCACTGGGCTCTCGACCCTGGCCAGCCACCTTCCGCTTGCCCTGAACTGCCCTAGACCTGGGGTCTGTCTCTGCTTCAGGATCTCATGGTTTTACTCCCTCTGCTTGGGGGTGCCTCACAGGCCCACCTCTCGTCATTCAGGTCTCGGCTCAAATACCACTCCCTCAGGTGCGCTGAGCACTGGGGTCTATTGTCCCCCCTATTTCTCCCCACCACCCTCTGGCACATCATTGCCCCCTCAGAGGGGCACCCTGAGTCCCAGGTCTAACAGCAGGTAGAGCACTTCCCCAGGCTGGCTGCTTGTGGGGGCTCTTCACCCTCCCGAGGGACTGTCCTCCTGGAACGCCTCTGCAGAGACACCCATGGACAGACTTCCCCAGCACCTGGAGGGGGAATTTCCAGCAAACTCCATCATGGAGGCTTTCTCCAACAAGGTCTGGATCTCTCTCAGCCCTATAGTGGTTGCTCTCCCACATTTGCTCTTCCCGTATTCATCAGAGTTCTCTTTGCTTCTTCCTAGCCTGTCCTTTGGTGCTTCAATCCCCGGTTGTAGTTAAGCATTTTCTAGACGAACCTGCCCTGTTCCAGTTACCATGTGGTTTCTCTCCTGACTGGACTTAACAGGTGCAATCATGAACAGAACAGGCCTCCTAGGAAATGTGGACCCTCGGCAAATTCCACTCTAGCCTCTACCCCTGGAAACCTAGTTTAAGTTCCCCAAAGGGGCTTGGGATGGAGGCGGCAGCAACCAAGTACAGGCAGAACCAAGACCCATCTCAGATGCCACCTCCAGAACTGGGGGTGCCCCGGTGGTGGGCTCTCTCATGTGACCTTGGCTTTCCTTGGCAGACAGGGGCGCAGTCATTCTGCCCCTGCTGGGCAGTGCGGCCCACTCTGCATTCGCAGGCATGCCACAGGTCTCTGGAGGGAGCTCAGGGCTGGTGTGAGGGTGCAGTGAGGCCATGTCTTCGGAGGAGATGCTTGGAGGTGGGGAGCTATTGGGTGTGCGATCACCATTTTGTGCCACAAGGCAGAAAGCTGCTCCACTCCCCAGTATCAGGGTCACATGTGGCCTTCTCTCTGCTCTGACTCCTGCTCTGAGGAGGCTGGCCAGGTCTTCCTTCCACGCCACTTTCCTCCCCGGCACCAGGCCTGAGTCCCCACTGGGTACCGAGGGCAGCTTGCTGCTGATGGGAAGACAAGCTTTCCGTGGAACTGCTACTTCTCTAGAAAGTTCCAGGTCATTTGTTAAATCAAAATTTTCCAATTTTTCCAGGCCCTCTTAACCCCTCTCTTGTAACCCCAAATCCTATATACCCAAATGGAAAAGCCATCTAAGTCCAGCATGGAAAGAGCACCCGATTCTTTCCAAGGGTTCTCCAAAATCCTAACAGACTCAGAAGGCCAAGGGTCATCAGCGGCCCCCAAACTCATCCTGGTGTCCTGGCCAGGCTGGACAGAGAGGCAGGCCAGCCTCACCTCACCCTTCACTCTTACACAGCAGGGATGGTCCAGGAACCACCCTCTTGAGCCTCACGGTGGGTGTGATGTGGGCTGTGGGAGGGGAAGTCAGGGTGGGGTTAGGTGGCTCCCTTACTTTGGATGCTGAGCTTCTCCCAGGCGCTGCGATCTAGGCTCCGGTTAAGGTAGAGAAGGCCTGTGTCCTCCTCGATGCGGATCCAGTCGTTCTCATGCAGCCTCGCACGGTAGGCGATGCCGTAGAGATGCTGACCCAGGCGGAAGCTGGGCACCTCCTCGGGGACGTCCCGCAGGGCATGGACATAGAGCAGGGGCATGCCAGCTGGCTGGTCCACATACAGTTTCTCCCAGTAAGCATCCCTAGAGAAGTAGAGTCCTAGCGGAGCTGCAGAAAGCAGGGAAATGTGTGAGCGCGGGAGGAATGACGATGTCCCAAGCAGGCCTCCCAGGTAGATCAGCACTCTCCAGCAGCTTTATTTCACACTTTAATAAAAGCTTCTTTGTGGACCCCAAAATTTACTAACTTAAAATTCCAATCTAGCATAAGTAATAGTTTATAAGCAAAATTGTATGCAATTTTCTTGTTCTGAAATTATAAGAAAGAAATCTCACCCTCCATAATTTACAGGATTAAAGACTTTTATACAGAAATAAAGAAATAATAAAATTCTGATCTGAGTAGGACTTTCTCACTTGTAGACCTAAAAAGATACAACACACACCTATCTGCGTATCTAAAAACAAGCTGCAGATGGACTGCCTTAAAACAGAAAAAGAAAAGAGAGGAGGAGGCAGTACAAAACACCTGCAAAATTGTTCTCAATTACCCAAGTTTGATAAGCATGTGAACCACACAGAGCTGGGAGTTCACTCAGGTTTCTCAGAAAATCACCTGGATTCAGAGTTTTCAAGTGTACACAGTGATGCCAGACAAGCAGGGCAGGCAAGAGTCACCAAAAATGAAGGAGGGCACTTTACTGCTTTATTCACAAGATTTACTTATTTGAGAGAGAGTGTGTGAGAGATCACGAGTGTGTGCGTGTTGGGGGAGGGGCAGAGGGAGAGAATCTTCAAGCAGATTCCCTGCTGAACGAGGAGCCTGTACCTGGGCTTGATCTCATGACCCACGAGATCATGACCTGAGCCAAAACCAAAAGTTGGATGCTTAACCAACTGGGCTACCCAGGCGCCCCTGAACCAGGGCGCTTTATAAGAGAAACAAATCTTTATTTATTTATTTTGCAGATTTTTAATTTATTTTTTGACAGAGAAAGAGACAGAGAGAGAGGCAACACAAGCAGGGGGAGTGGGAGAGGGAGCAGCAGGCTTCCTGCTGTGCAGGGAGCCCAACGTGGGGCTCGATCCCAGGAACCTAGGATCATGACCTGAGCCGAAGGCAGCCGCTTAACCAACTGAGCCACCCAGGTGCCCCAAGAGAAACAAATCTTTAAAGTTAAACATACTCCTACCATTTGACCCTGAAATCCTACTGAATTTATCCAGGAGAGGAACACATATGTCCATCAAATGACTTATTCACAAATGGCAGGGTTATTCACATAGCCAAGAACTGGAAACAGCCCAGATGCCCTTCAACGGGTGAGTGGATAAGCAAAGGGTGGTTTTCACACCACGCAATTTTATGCCGCAATAAAAAGGGATGAACAATTGATACACACGGCAACGTGGAAGGATCACCAAGGGACTGTGGATAGAGCTCTGATTGCCACAAGGAAGAGGATATGGACCATGGCCTCACTGGGTAAGCCCACTACTCTGCTGATTTTGTGTAAGTTCAACATTTTTCATAATAAAAGGTTTTAAAAAATAGTAAGAATTTTCAAGAAGCTGGATAAATAGGCGAACGATGCTTGAAAAACCACTAAAACCCTGTCAACACTCTATAATGCACAGAAAGTACCCAACATACAACACAAACATTAGAACTCATGTATTCGCTCACATGAAGCCAATTTCTCTTTTCAGTCAGCTTCTTTCCACCTAGACCCTACTCTTTTCATAGCTGTCGGGGTAAGCAGTCAGGTCAGACTGCACCAGCAGAGGTATGATACCCCTGGCACCGCCTGGGTCCTCAAGGACACGTTTGGGTATGGGAAACAATCAAGTGCCAACTGGAGTCAGGTGGAGACCACAGGGAAGACCTTTTTAGATCCCGAAGCGATAAAACGGTAAGCAAACAGGAAGGCTGCCTGCACCGTGGAATGTTCTCCAGGATGACTTCAAAAGGCAGCCAGACTACGAGTGCCACCTTGGGGGGGAAGCATGCCCTTGGCCCAGTCTGCTCCCTGCCAGACAGGCCTGGGCTGGGAAGGAGCAAGGGCTCCGGAAAGGGAGGGAGAGGGAGAGAAGGAAGGGAGGGTGAGAGAGAGAGAAGAGAGAGAGATGCTCTGGTCAGAGCCAAAGGCCTGACCCTGCACACCCCGCACTCAACACAGAGATGGAGGGAAGCGGGGGTGTGGGTGGAGGAATGACAACACTTAGAATGTGGCCTTTTGGACCTCTGGAAATCTCCTCCCGAGGACAGGTGTCCCTGGAGTGGGACCTAGAATTACTCAGTCCCTGTGGGTGCAGTTCAGGGAGGGGCAAGCCAGGACCTCCAAGGAGCCTACCTTGTGCTCTGAGCTGAAGTTTACTGGGGGAAGGATCCACTCCAAAGTGTCACACTGGCCGCCATTCAAGGGGGAGGCAGGTAATGGAACGCCATGAAGTCACACTGGGGAACTCGGGTGGGAGTGCCGAGACCATGCCTCCCCCACCCTGGGGTCTCACCGGCAGACACGGGCAGGAGCTGCCTGAATGCCACCCTTCTCTTCCCACACCCTCCCCCCTGGCCCAGGAGGACACAGGTTCTCAGATGCATTCAGGGCTGACCTCCTTGGGATTTAGCAGCTGATGCTACGAGGGACAGGAGTGCAGCTCAGAGGGCTGTGTTGGCCCCACAGGCCCCACAGGGCCACAGCCTCTTGCTGCCCCTGTTGAAGGGCTGCTGATGCACCAGCACAGGGCTGAGTGATGGGCCATGGCTAACAGGTCCTCTGAGGGCCCCTGCACACCTGGGATGCATTCCAGAGGCTTGCACGTCCCAGGAGAGGCACCCACACTCCCCAGTGTGGAGCCCCAAAGAGGACCCTACCAACTCATCAAGTCATGACTCAGACAAAGAGAGGAATGCTCCCTGTGGGTGAGGAGACACCCACACGGAGGGGACAGTGGTAGGGGAGTCCCAGATGGGGCTTGGCAGCCACCCCCCACCAGGAGCATGCCAGAGCCTGCTCGGTGCTGCCCGGCAGGGTAACTCCTGGCTTGCTCTCCTCGGCTGGCCCATCCAGTCTCCCCCACAGAAATCGGATATTATAGGGGCTCCCAACCCACCATGGCAGCATCTCAGCACGGCCACGTCCTAGACGGCAGGCTCAGAAGGGGGATGAAAGCCAGGCCCAGCACTGTGGCTCCACCAAGGGCCTGAATCACGAGCAGCGGCCCAGCCTCCTCGTCCTCCAACATTCCCCGAAGTTCTCCACAAGGCAGAGCATCCAGCAAGAGCTCTAGGGGAGGGACTGAGTGGGGGGCTGCCAGGGAAGGCAGTGCTTGCTGCCCCATGGACAGGAAGAATGATTCATGACTCTTTCCACCCCCGCCGGACCCTGTCCCGACTGCACAACTTTTGGAAGGGGCTGGCCCCCTGCAGGGCTGCCGCCTCTCAAAGGTGGAGTGTGGGGTGGGCACAGCCTGGCTGCGTGGCTCTGGGAGTCAGCACAGCACAAGGCCAATCCCCCACGCATACACACTGACCTTTCATCCTCTCCACAGCCCCAGCAGCGGCACCGTCAGGACCGCTGCTCTGCAAACACAGACACTGAGGCGGAAAGAAAGTCATTTGTTTGCTCAAGGGCGCACACACAGACAGCAAGAGAACGGGAATTTGTAAAGCAGGGTTCCAGAGCGGCACATCCTTCACCAGCCCACTCACCTCCCGGTGCCCCTACAGCTGCCATGCTCTTGATCCCCAGCTGACCAGGCCTGGGCCCCCACTGAGGTAGCCCTGCCTGCTGGGACACGCTTTGTTCCCCCACAAAGCCCTGAGCAGTGACCGAGGCTCCCTGCAAGTCAAGAATACCGGCTCGAGGGGGAAGGCAGTCCTGAAGACTCACCATCTCTCTGGGCAGCTTGGCATTTCCGGGCACAAAAAGGAGGAGAGACTAACATCCAGGGGCCTCACAGGGTGGTGGCCAGGGGCAGCCTGGGCTTGTGACACCAACACCGGCTAAGGAGGGGACTCAGCCAAGACGAGTGCTGCCAACCTCCTCAGCACCCTGGCAGAAGGGCACGTGCCAATCACTCATGATCTGAGAGGCTGCCATTGGGCCTCAACTCCTGGAGCTGCAGGGAACGCTGCTGGATCCACCAGACTGGGCACAGACCAGAGCAGCCCGTGTCTTCCAGAGCCCATGTCACCAGGCCACCAGCTTTCCTTGGTGTGTTTGACCCCTCCACGGAGAGGTAACGTCTGCCTTCTTGCCCCCAGAGGCCCAGCAAGGGGTTGCTGCATGTCAACAGAGCTTACATCCTGAGAGGCAACACTGCTCCTGCGGGCGCTTTCTCTCAGGACACGCATTTCTGGCCCTGGTCAGCAGGGTAGAACCGAGTAGAACTTGGCTGTTCTTGGAGACACTGTGGGAAGGGACTTTCGGGGGGTTCTGGTGACCCCTGGGGGCTGTAGAAGACAGGTCTTGTCAGGGGGAGATACTCTCCCCACAGCACCCCACTGCTGGGTAGGTAGGAGCAGCTCCAGAATTGGGCTCCCCTCTGGGGGCCTCCTTGACTGCACACACTTTCAGTGGTACCGGGGCCAGGAGGTAGGACGGCCTGAGCTCCCAGAGCTCCCCACCCCCAAGCTGGTGCAGTTCCCACCACGCAGACCACATGTGCAGGAGAGAATGGGTCCTGCCTGCTCTCATCGCACAGAGCCCAGCCCTACGGGATCTGTGTGGGGCCCAGTTGATTGCTGCCAAAAGGGATTTGTGGGTTGGGCAATGATTGTGAGCAGAAACAGACTTAAATGCACTTAAGTACCTCCCAGGTGGTCCCTGTAGCCAGGCATGGCTCCCTTAATGCTCCTCAATGTCACAGACACTTCTAGATGGGAAGGCAGGGAACTGAGGAGGTGGGTGCAGGGCCGGCCTCGGGCGGGTATAGCCTGGGCAGTCCCAAAGGGCCCCACACTTGGTTTAATGCTCTGACGTCACTGTTTTGAAATTCTTCACAATTCTAGAACAAGGGGTCCACATCATCATCCTACACTGGGCCCCACAAATGTTGCAGCCAGTCCTGGCAGGTGGATGAGGAGAGCCTGGGATGGGCCACTGGTGTCCACTTCCACAGGGCTGTGCAGCCTCTGCAGTCTGCTGGCCTCCACTGCGTCTCAGCTTCTCCAGCTGCGAATCAGAGGGGGGCATGCTGGGGACAGGAGCTGACACAGCAGGTTGCAGACAGGCCTCGCCTTTGCACAGGTATGTATTATACAAAGCTCGTACTTCAGATTCACAGCTGCTGTGTGTGGATCCCCTTACTACCCCATTTCACAGTTTAGAACGCTGAGGCTGGGAGGTGAGAAGCCTTACGAAGGTCAGTCGGCTGGTGGTTTTGAGTCTCGGGGTTTGGTACACTGGCTAACAAAGTGGCAGTGGGAGTCAGAATGAGGGCAGATGCTGAGCCCACCAGGAGGCTCGCTGCTGGCACCTTTCTGCCAGGAAGGGCTGCCTGGCCTATGGGCTCATACATAGCAGGACTTGATCCCCAGCTGACCAGGCCTGGGCCCCCACTGAGGTAGCCCATACCTCCCACCTCTGAATGCCTCGGGGTGCCAGAATCCTCCCCCACACCTAGTCTACGGTTTCTGTCTGGATAGGGTTGGCCCGCATCACCCCCCAGTGGCACCCCATGGTCCTGGTTGCTCAGGTTGCCCCGTTGCATGGCAACGTGCTGCAGGGCGAGGAGCTGGCCTTTCCTCTCAGAACAGTGGGTCCCTTGCAGCTCATGGCACCCCTGCCCAAGGCTCAAGTCACTGCTCACGTTCAGGGAGACCCCATCTGCTCCCACCCTGCCTGACCCCGACATGGAAAAAAGGTGTGGAACTCACGTCTGACAGGGCTGAAGTGCTGTCCGGCTCTCAGCAGGGCCTCGCCTGACATCTTGTTTACAAGCAAATCCACCACAGTGTCTGCCAGGTGGGTGGCTGGCTACATTCAGTGCACTCGGTCACCCGGCCATGGTTTTGCCTTTACCTCGACCATTTTGTAACCTGCAAAGGTCGTTTCCGAGGCTCCACATTTGGTTGACAGATTTAATTTATTCGGATTTGGATACAGATGGAACCAGGCCCACTCCCCCCCTTCGTTCAACCCTTCACAGGGCACATGTGCACGCACACACTCACACGTGCGCACTCACACACACTCTGCCCCGCGTGTGCACGTCCTCGTGCCCACACTGGACCCTGAGCTCCTTCCTTTGCAGTGAGCAGGATGCTGAGCCTCGCCGGAGGAGGTCACTGCAGATGGTCAAGGGCTGGGCTCCCGCCTCTCGTTGCTGTCCCTTGCTTTTTCGGGCTCCTGCCGCCTCGGGGCAGCCAGCAGCAGAGAGGTGTGGGGACATTCCGAGTGCTCCACCTCATCCACCTGCCCAAAGTGCAGTCCCGTGGTGCCCGCACAGCCCACACCTGAGCCTGGTGATCACCTTCCCGCCAGACCCATCCCCAGCCTTGGCTGCCCTGTGCCCTGGAGGGTTGTCTCCAGCCGGCCCTGAGGCTGCAGGCCAGCCCCGGCCCTAGCAACCCAGCTAACTCTTCCATGAGGGGTGGGCTGCTACCCAGCTCTGCCAGCGGGCTCTGATCCCAGCCTGGGCGGGGGGGGGGGGGGGTCCTTCCCTGGGTGCCCTCAGCCTGAGGTGGCCCACGGAACTCCCCTGTGCCCACCGTTGTTCTCTCAACACATAGCTTAGGTGAACTAGGTGAACCTCTCCTGCTTCCAGTGCTGTGTGACGGCTGCATTCTCGGTGAGCCCATATTGATACATGCATCTCTCCTACACATACTCACTCTCTTACACGCACACGGTTCCGTACTCACACTTACGCACTGGCCCACTCAGTGTAGAGTAGCACAGTGTGGCCCGGTCCCAACTGTGGGCTCACCTGCACCAGCTCTCCGTGGTCCTGGCCAGCCCTGGCCATCGGGGCCACACACAGCTCACCAGAGGTGCCCCTGCCTTCCCTGTCACTCTCTGCAGTGGCGGTGCTGCCCTCTGACTGTGCCAGTCCGGATCTGGCTGGGCGCCCCTGCCCTGTGACCCCACCCCAGGGCCTGTCCCCCACACTGCTATGAGCACCGATGAGTCACACTCACCGTGGCACACAGTCGCCCTGCCAGGGAAAGGCAGAGAGTCCCCAACAGCTAAAAATGTCCTAGCATTGCAACAAGGAAGCTGGAACTCAGGGCTCCTAAGGAAGAAAGAAAAAGGTGCAACGGTGCGATCTAAGAACGGGGTGGGGTTAGGGGCAGCGCCCGCGTGTGTGCAGGGCAGGCCCTTCCTGCAGACCCCACTCGCCGGACAGCCCCCGCTCCGCCCTTGACGAGCGCCAGATCGCGTAGATGACAGTTTTATTATAACACAGCAGAATCTCCTTAACAGACGATTTCCTAATGCCATCATCTTTGCTGGGAATGGGAAACAGACCCCACCGACTTCTCCCCAGGGGCGGCCCCTCCCCCTGCAGGCCAGCTGTCCCTATCGGGGGTCCCTCCAGCCCCAACACCGGCGCTGGGCACTATCGCCCTCTCAGGACGTGGCCTGTCCACACCACGGCCCCTCCTCTCTAGCACATTCCCGGCTGCTCTTTATTCTAGGGGCATATTTGATACACACAGATGCATCATGCGCAATGCTTACACCGAAGGTAAATCCCACAACGCACGGCCAGCCTTACTGGACACTTAGCACTGCTGCTGCCCCGCCCGGGCCCCCACCTTCCACTTCACGCCGCTCATTTCGGACGTGAACCCGGCGCTTGGGTTTCTCTTGCCTTTTCTTAAATTGTTTTTTAAATAAGCTTTCTACCTCCTTCCTGGAAGGTACTTTTGCTGTGTAGAGAATTCTGTAGGAAGGTTATTTTCTTCTCTCAGTCCTTCAAAGGACTTTTTTTTTTTGCTTTTGTTGCTGCTTCAGAGAATCCTATACTCGTTCTACTTGTCACTCCTTGGTATTCTCCCTTCTCTCTGGCTGCTTCTAGGACCTCCTGTCTGGTGTTCTCTCCAGATGCGCTACAATAAGCCAGCTTGCCAACCTCCTGGGCTGGGTTCCTCCCCCTTGCCAGCCCTCTGGATGGCAGAAGCTCCTTATTTTCTCTCCCTGTTCCCTCCAAGCAAACGGCAGCCAGTCCCACAGCATTCATAACCCGTGTTCATGAGCCTCTGTGCTGATGACGGCCACGTTCGCCAGCCCCGACCTCATCCTCAGTGCCGGGTGCGAATCTCCACTGTCTTGTTCCAGCCCCTCCCATGCTCCAGTCCACTTAGAGGAGGACCCAGGCCACCCACCCCCGCCTGCTCCTCCCATCTGCCCGCCCCATTCAGGGTACCATCCACCTCACTGCTGAGGTCACACACCTCAGACTCACCATGGGCCCTTCCATCTTCTACCCCTCCCACCAGCCCACAGACTGCCCCCTGCCATCCCCAGTCCAAGCTGCCATGCTCCCATTCCTCCCTCACCTGGGTGATACCACACTGCTCAAGGGGCCTTCCTGAGCCCACTCTTAACCCCCCAGGCCACTGTACAGAGCCCCCAGGGTCAGTTGGGCCATGTCAACCCCTGCCTGAAGCCCTGTATTAACTGCCCATTGCTTACAGAATAAAACACAACTCCTAACCAGGGGTGAGGCCCCAACTGTCCTCCCCCCAGCTCACCTCCTCCCTACTCTCTCGGGCACCCACCTTCCAGGCATATCAGCCAACTCACTACTATGAGCTGAAAGAACAGACTAATGAGTGACCCAATGAAGGCAACAATGAAGGAGCAAACCAATAAACACATGGGTTCATGAAGGGGGGGGCATGCTGGAGACTTTTGGGAAATGGTCCAAATCTGGGATGAGAGAGGGGGTGGAGCTAAGATACTCTGGCTTGGTCTGATGGGCACTGGGAGCCACAGGTGGAGAGTCAGCAGCAGAATGAGCCAGAAGAGCCACACAGATGGCCCTCCTATGCTCACAAGACTCGTGAGGGACGTGCGGGGCCCTCTAGTGCACTAGCCATCTCAGGGAGGCCAGTGGTGGGTGCTGAGCAAACAGCCCCCAGGCTGAGAACAAAACCTCAGATCCCTGCTCAGGAGATGACTTACTGGTGTCTGAGGAGCACTGCCAACTGGAGATGGTGGCCAGAACGGGTGTGCTCACTCACACACACTCACACGCACACACACACGTGCGTGCATACGGGGTCACCCTGCAATTACTACGCCTTGTCTCAGTGGGAGGCTCTGCTTTTACAAGGGATTATAATGTATCTGCTTTTAGGAAAAAAGTACAGATCAAATTTGCAAATCGAATTTATAAATAACAGATTTGGGGGGAGGCATAAAAGGGAATCCCAGTTTTTAAAATTAATTGTGGTAAAATACACATAAAATTTACCATCTTAATTATTTTAATTATTTTAATGTCCCAATGAGGACACCAGTCACCGTGATCAGGGCAGTGCCGCCTCGGTTCCAGTCCTCCATTCCTTCTTCCCCAAATGCTGCCCGAGTGGCCAGCCTGTGCCACCACCCACAAGGCTGAGTGGCTTCCTGGTGTGGGCTGGGCACACAGCAAGGGCGAGCTGGATAAGCCCACACACAGTGAGGAGCAAGTGGACATCCCGGCCCACACTGGGTGCCTCAGCTTCCCCTAATGAGCTCTGGGGCTCTCCATGTTCCTGAAGGTTGCATCTAGCGCAGAGCCCAGGGCTCCCGCCTGCCAGCCTGGCCAGGAGCTTCACACAGAGCTCAGCTCTCAGGGCCCACCATCGTCCCTCCAGCCTCAGTCCTCACTGTGTGGTTCATGATGGGGAAGGACAGGGCACCCAATGCAGGGTGCAGTGTCTCCCCAGACACCTGTCCTCTTGGGCCTTGGCTGGGAAACATGGACGGCAGTTTGGGAGAGCCGCTGGATGGAGAAAGAGACCTGGGGGCCCTCAGAGATACCACTCTGCACACACAGGCACAGCCTTCTACCTTTGTGAAAAGCTCTTCCTTGCACACCTCGCCTGAGCTTTTGCTGTAGGCCAGGGACATCCCTCCCCCGACTCGATGATGGGAAAAAGAAACCGAGGTTCACCTCTCACATTCATGGTAGAAGTGCAGTCAGCGCCCAGGTGTCCTGACCCTGCCCACATCATCCAGGTAGCCGTCTGCCAAGAGTGGGGAAGGGGTCTGGGCATGGTTGAAGTCTGGGGCAGTGAGGTCAATGACTGAGGTCTACAGCCCAGGCCATGTGGGAGCTAGTAGCCCGGACTTGCCCTTTTGGCACAAGTCTCAGCCTTCTGCTCCGAGGGGCCCGGGCCCCAGGCCACACCCTGCATGCACCCGCAGCCACCACCCACATGGCCACGTCCGTCCAGGCCAGCTGCAGTGGCCTCACAGAGATGATGGGCGCTCCTGCCCAAATGTGATTTCCCAGCTGCTGTTGAGTTAATCACCAGCCCCATGAGCAGTTCCTTCCGGCTTCTATGCAAAGGAAACTGCCAATTAGGTTACAATTAATTTCTTACCCAGGGCAAGGCCTGGCTGGAAAAAGACTGGCCACCCAAGTGGCCTGCCGATGACTGTGTGCGGGTCACCAGGTCCCCGTGGCTCCAGGACTCGCATGCCCCAAGGCCCCAGCTGACTTCCGGTGTGCTGGCCCCAGCCTGGGGTGACCGGCCAGGACATTATCAGCTTTGACCCTGGTGCCTCTGCCTGGGGAACTGTCCCTCATGCACCCAGTGGGGCACTGTGACTCAGACTTATACAAATCTGTCACCCCCACCTACCTTGAGCTCCCTGAACAGAGATGGTCCTGCCCATTTTTGTCCCCCCCTCCACCCGCATCCCAGCATTCCTTTTGTGTAACATTAACAGGCCAAACATCTACAGTGCATTCTCTGTGAGAGGTTCTGTCCTAAAGTACTTCACACGCATTGTTCCACTTAATTAACACAACTGCCAGAAGTAGGGGTGATTATGATGCCTGTCTTGCAGAGAGAGAAACTGAGGCAGAGAGAGGCTAAGCATTTTGCCCAAAGCCACTCAGACAGTGAGCCAGGACTTAAGCTGGGTCCCACCTGAGGTGGTGTGCATGGCCACCAAACTCTTCTGCTTAGTGACGGCCATGCACACACATGCAGAGAAGCCAGGGCCCTGGGACCTGGGACTCTGGGCCACCTACCCACCTGCTTGCAGACCAGGCTGAAAATGCCATCATAAATAACCATCCATACCTCCCTTAGCCTCTTCTAAAAAGCAGGTGCCCCTAGAAGTCTCCTGGTATAAATTTATTAACATTTCAGTGAAATGGGGTGAAGCCCAGGTAAGTGTGACTGGGTGGGAGTCTGCTCAGGCAGTATCTGTCTGACACGGACAGACAGTAATGGTTGCTGCATGCAGACGGAGCACCTGGAAGGTGCCCACCAATGCTAGGAGCCTGACATGTCTATCTCTGCTGGATACAGAAGTGAGCCTTGAGGGATCCTTCCCTCCATCTTACTGGATCCTATTATCACCACATATTTGAAAAGGTAGAACCAGCAAGGTCCAGCTTCTGCACGTGGATAGTGACCCACAACTTGTATCTCCTGGCAGGGAAGGGTCAGGGCAGTCCCTGGGAATGTAGCACCTACACGGGGTGACTGGGACAAAGGCATCTCCACGAGCCAGCAGCGGCCTATCAGTCAGAGCAGGGCCTACTGGGACTGCTCTAGCTCGATGCGGGGCTGGAAGGCCATCCTGTGGTCTGGATGTGCTTCCTTGTCAAGTCTGAGAAGAACAGAAGGGGCCCTCTCAAAGGAAGGCCCTTTTCCCAAGGGCTCTGGGAATAGGTCTGCCCTCCTGCCCCCAGCACACACTCCGTCCCATGTGGGTCCCATGTGGGGCGGGTTTGGGATGTCACAGTGCTTCTTCTGGGAGCCCCTCCCACTCCCTCCCTGCAGTTTTGGACCTGCTGCCCCCTCCTCTTCCTACTCCCCACTATAAGCAAGGGCAGGTGCAGTCAGGTGAACAGCAGACAGGACCCCCGGCAGGGCCACCACGATCCCTGGAACAGAAGCTGGGTTCTCTCTGGAGATGTGGGAAGCCTCAAAGAAGGCCTAAGGGTCTGCTCTGCTGGGAGGGTGGAAGGAAGAGAGCTGGGGCAGCCTCTGAGAGAGGCAGGCTCCAGCACAGCGTGGACCTGGGGCCAGACAAGCCGGCAGGGCCTGAGGGTCCACTGCACACCAAGGGCTTTCCCCATCTATACGGTTTCCCCATCTATAAAATGACGAGGTTGCATCTGATGCTAAGGCTCCTTTTAATTCTGATTCCCCTACGAGTCTATGTGATGTCTGTGCAGAAGCAGTCACAGAATGAACTTCCTGACCAGGGACCAATGGCAGGATGGTGGGCATGATGGAAACTGGGGTGGGCTTTGACCTAGGTGGTCTCTGGGAGTAGGGTG